GCGTACCTCTGGGATTGCAGTGCTGTGTCTTGCCACTAGGCCACCAGAGCTCCCTTACAGTCTGTTTGTTGACGCTGACTGAAATGCCCACCCTGTACTGGACTGTCCCCGCTTCCTCCTTGCAGTTCTGATTCTCCTTGGCCTTTATGGAGCTCTCTGTCTTTCTTTGGTTTACTGATAGTAAAGTCCTGACATCCCCTTACTCTGCGTTCCTTTTCTTGGCACTTACCTTGATGTGTGTCTGTTATCTACTTGTTACTGGTGGATTGCTTTTGTTTATTGGGGTTTGGTGTGTGTATGTGTGAACTGAAGTTGTACATCAGCCCTTTGTTGAGCAAGCCTCTTGGCACTGTTTTTCTGGCAGTCTGTCTTACTCTGTGCCTCCGTGTCACATTTTGGCCGCAGACTTTTCAGCAGCGCTGTTGAACGTTCACTGGGCTGCAGCGTCGTGTAAACATAGCTTCAACGTGCCCTGGGAGACAAACAAACGGAGGTGGCTTGCGTTGTTGCTGTGATCTGGGCCAGAACCCTCACTCATATCTAGGTCTGACCTTGTTTGGATGGCTCATTTACCTTTTCTGATAATCTTCTGTTTTTCCGCAGTTTACGTTGTCAAAATGCATCGACGCCGTGATGGTGTTGGGGAATTCCCATCTGTTCATGAATCGGTCCAACAAACTTGCTGTGATCGCAAGTCATATTCAAGAGAGGTACAGCCCTCGTCATTGCCTTTTCACTGCCTTTTCTGCTTAACCCGTCATGTTTGGGAGACGGTGGTTCTCGTGGGGTGCGCCCTGCCACACATCACCCGCTGCGACCCTGCGTCTGCTGAGGTGCCATGGAGTCTGTTCTCACTCAAAGTGACCCTGTGCACAGCGGAAGAACACTTGGGCCGTCCCCAGTCTGTGCCTGAGCCCCTGTGTCACCACACCCCCTCGAGGACTAGTGTCCTGTCACTGACCCTCTGCCTTCCCAAGCATGGTGTCTTCCTGCGCGCGTGGCCCCTCCCGACCACATGCCCAGAGTACGTGGGCTGAGGTCCTGCTGAGGACCTTTCTGGCTGCGTCAAAATACATGTGTTGTTTGGACAGCGCATGGCATGTTTCATGGTCTCTGCTGACACCACAGTTCACGTTTCCCTCATTTTCCAGAAGACACTGGAACTGCTTAGCTGTTATGTGTCAGAGGACTCAGCCTTGCCACAGTCCCTATTTTGTGCACTGTTGGAAATTGGAACTGTCACTTGTTGGATGTACAGAATTGGTGTGTTGGTTTTCTAGGTGGATTTCACTGTGCTGTTGGGAGAGGGCAGGAAGTCCAGGTCTAACCGGGCTCTTCTCTTCCCTGTTGTAGCCGATTTCTGTATCCTGGAAAGAACGGCAGACTGGGAGACATCTTCGGAGACGCCTGCAGCCTCCCCTCCGAATTTAATCCCACCGGAAGTAAAGACGGAAAATACGAGCTGTTAACAGCAGCTAATGAAATTATCGCTGAAGAGATTAAGGACCTCATGACAAAGAGTAACAGCTTTTCCTTTTCGTTTGGTTCCTCTGAAAGAGATGTAGAGTTTGAAGGCCTTTACGGATTGAAATCCAAAGAGTTGAGGTTCTTGATCCATCTGCTGGAAAGCTCATTAGTTAACTACTGCTGTTCTAATAGAAATACCTTAAGTGGCGGGAGAGGGGCTTTAACAAGCAAATTTATTTTCTCACAGTTTAGGATGCTGAAATCAGTGTGCTCGTTCTAGGGGCCACCTGTTTCTGTCCTCTGGGCACAGGCCCTTGTTTTTCATTTCCATCTCCTAGTCCCTTGGAGATATCCAAATGGCTTGGCATTTTTGCTCCCCAACATGTACTTGCTTAATCTGCTCTGTTTATGTCTTGTACGAGTTTGACTTAATACACAGCCCTCTGCAGTGATCCTACCTTGTTGACATAACGAAGAGCCCTTTCCAGACGATACGGTGACAGCGGCACAGAGCTGAGGATTGACGTCATGTGCTGACTGATGAGGGCACGCGATTCAGGACAATCGCTCGCTCTCTGTCTCTTTTTCCTCTTATGAATCATTCTTTCATTCCAGTCCTGCCTTTTCTTTGATCTTATTCTCAAAACACCTTTTAATTCTGCAGTTACTTCTTCTCTGTGTCCTCACCCACTCTCAAGTTGTTGTTGTTGTTGTTTTAAGGTACAAAGTGAAGATAGATTTATTAGGAAGTTACATCCCAAAGGGATGGACCTTTCCCTTGGAAGGGCCTGTAGAGGAGGCCACCCATTGCCGTCCTGCATGATCGCTAATGTACAAACACGTCCAGTCGGTGTTCCAAGTCCAGCCTGGCTTTCTAGTCGACCAGCTGTCCACTTTGGGGGTGCAGGCTCTTCAAAGGCCCAATACTCGGGTCACTTTCTGGTCTTCTCAGCAGCATCACCGTTTCAGCCTGTCTCTGTCCTTGTCCACCTAGTTTTCCAGGTTAAGGAAACGAGGTGAGAGAGGACAGAGTTGGGGTGCAGAGCCAGAGTGTTCTCTTTTTTTTTACACCTGCCTTCTCACACTTGACATGTGACCTGCTATGAAGTCCTGCCCAGTGAGGCTTGAAATGTCGCCACCGTCAGGGCTCTTCTCTCACCCAGGTCAGGGCTCTCGCAGCCGGGCTGAGTCTTAGTGATGGGGACGGCGTTGTTGGGGCAGCCCTGGCCTCTCTGTCACCAGCTCTGAGATGTGACAGCCAACATTGCAGACGCTGTCTAGTGTTCTGGGACGCTGAAATGCCCAAGGCTGAAAGTCAGAGCTCCAGACCATTTTTTTTTTAAATTTTTGTTTTATTTTATTATTTGTGTGTGCCGTCAAATCAGATCTGACTGGTACAGAAGGAGATTGTCCCTCCTTCTCCAGCAGAGCATCTGGTGGATTCGAACTGTGCGCCTCTGAGATTGCAGTGCAGCTTCTTGCCACTAGGCCACCAGAGCTCCCCCAGCTCCAGGCGATTTTAGCTACTTCTGCCTGCTTGGTGTTCTGGCCCCATCTGCCTGTTGAATCATTCGAGTTCTGCTTGTTCTCCAGAAGTGTGCTAAAGAGCATCATGCTTTCTTGTGTCAAGACTTTGTTTTCTTAATGGCCCAGTAACACCCCATTGTATCCTTGAGGGACTTCGCTTTGTTTATCTGTCTTCTGTTGTTGGGAGCCTGGACTGTCTCCGCCTCTTGGCTGTTGGGAGCAGTGCTGCTGTGACTAACACTCAGCCGAATCTCTTGTAGAGTCTCTGCCTTCTGTCGCACTGTGTCAGCTTTGCCCCTCTCGGTTTGGTTTGCTGAGCAGACTGACTGCGCCCAGCCCGTCACACATACACCTCGTTTGGGGACGTTGGCTGCAGTCTCTTCAGCGATGCAGCCCTCTGCCCGCCTCCTTCTCCGGCGTCCTGTTTCCATTTGTCCTTCTGCTCACTCTTTGTAAAACAGCCAGTGTGAAATTGTTGTCGTTTTGTTTCATTCATGGAGTAGAATGCTTTGTGTGGAAAATGATTTCCGATCATGATCAAGAAAGGACTTAGACATTGCCTTTTTTTAACGCTGCTATTGTTTGCAGGTGATATAAAGGGTCAGCACACGGAGACGCTGCTGGCAGGATCGCTGGCCAAGGCCCTCTGCTGTATCCTTCCCGCTCTGGTCACCCTCTTGGCAGTCTTCCTTCTGTATCAAGCCTGCTGTGTTGAGGGGATTCCGCTGAGAACAGAGTAGGGCTATCCCATAGTCCACGGCTCTGACCTTGACCTTGTGCTACTAGCAGAAGGACCCGGTGCCTGTTCAGAAGCAGCTCCTTGTTAATCAAGGCCCAGGGTCAGATTGTGGCTGTTCGAATGCACACTGGCCCAGGTCAAGAGAGAAGGGACACAAGAGAAGGCAGCCCCCCCCGTAAATGAGCAACAACGGAGCATTTCACAGCAGCTCGCTCTGTGGGCAGAAGGGCAGGCTGAAGCAGCTGGGTTTTTTTTGTTTGTTTGTTTGGTTTTTGTTTTTAAATTTTTTAGCAGCTGATTTTGTTACTCTTCCATTTCAGTCTGTACAGTTGATCTTATTAATATGTCAAAGCCACAATCAGTTGTTTTTCTATTGTTTGCTACTTTAGAATATTTAGGCCTCCCGTTCTTCTATGCACACAAGGCCCTACAAAATGTTGTTGTTGTTGTTATGTGCCGTCAAATCGCCTACAACCCATAGTGCCCTTATGTACAGCAACTCTGCACCCTGCCCTGTCCTGAGCCAGTCTCACTAATTCCAACACACCAAGTCCCTTAGTACAAGCTGAATCTGCTGAGTATAGAAGGAGCACCTGGTCGCATAGTGGTTAAGCACCGGCTGTGGACCAAAAGATGGGCAGTTCAGACCTTCATCTCTGTCGCTGTGGGAGATGGATGGGCAGTCTCCTCTCCTGAGACTTACAGCCGCGGACCTAGGCATCATTTCCAGCCCAACGGCAATGCATGTTTTGAATTCAAATCTAGGTGACTAGTTACTGGACAATCACTTGTTGATCATTTTAACTTTGGGGACACAATGTCTAGATTGGGTTACAGACCCCAGTCGGTGGTGGAGCCCCCTGAGCAGTCTCGCTTGTGTAGTTACAGAACTCATGTCAAATCGGACTTTTTCTTTTTTTCATTAGAGTGATGCTAGCTTTGTGTAGCTATAACTTGGGGTTATCTTTCTACTTGCTGTGCATATTTATGAAGAAGAGCTTTTTTATTCCTTAACGCTAATGCAATAAGACATTCATAGGATGAACAAGGAAGTTAAAGGTAAGCATTGGCCTTTTCCTCCGAGAACTTTAATCTTATTTCACTACCCTCACGGTGGTGGAGAACCTTGTATATGTATTTTACGAGATCTTATTAAATTATGCTCTTTAAAAATTGTAATCTCTTTTTTCCCCTTTACAGATAACCAGGAAATGAAGTCAAGGATATTGGTAAGGGGTCTTTTTTTGTGGTTTTTTTTTCCCTTAAAGCCGTACTGTTTTTTTAAACCAACTGTTGTCGATGAGAAACCATAATAGGAAATAAGTCTGCGATTCCACGTACGTCAGAACCAACGTCGAGTCTGGTTCCAGATCACTGAAGTAAAGGGAATGTGGCAGTACAGTGAGGCCTATGAATTTTTTAGTTTTCTTTTTTTTTTAATTATATTTTATTAATTTTCATAAACATTTACAGAGATTTTGGGCTTCCATTCATTCATTGTTGCACTATTCTCTCTACCCTCCTCCCAGTTTGTTCTTGTCCAAATGCCACAGTGCTTGTCAAAGCCAGTTCTGATTAATCTTCTTTGTCAGTGTGTCCTTTGCCATTCCCTATCACTCCTCCCTGAGAGAGACTTCACCCTGAGTCATAAGGAAAAGGGGATGGCGTATTCTCTTAGCTACTTCCTGCTGAAAAGGGACGCTGTGGGTTTCAGGGTGAAGATCTTCTCTCACTACTCTAAAGGGCCCCTTTGGCAGTAGGAAACACATAGACTATTATGGAGATTGATTTTGGAATTTAGATGCACTCTTATTAATTGTGCTTGGCTGTACATGTTCATATCCTTGAAGATGTATCATGGGGGTGTTGCAACCTAGAAGATACAAATTTGACTAACGAGTTATAAGTACATGAGTCCAAAAATTATGGAAAAGTAAAAGAAAAGATTCTTTCATTGTTTTACAAACCCTCCCCCAGGTCCCCTCCACCATGTAGCCCTCGCTCTAGTCTCCTGTGATGACAGAAATACCCAGTTATATCTCTCTTTTAAACGGTTCTCTCCCTCCTCTGTTTCAGTGCAGTATACATTATTGAACCCATCTTACTCAGTCTCTCCCCAACCCCAAGGACAGTCCCATTCTACAACAGTGGCATCATGTAATATTTGTCCTTTTGTGACTGGGATATTTCACTCAGCATAATGTTCTCCAGAGTCAACCATTTTGAATAATATTGCATGAGTTCCTGAATTTTTTAGTTTTCTAATACACGTCAAGTGATGTGACCTTCTGCTCTAGTCTGTTAAGTGTGTGACACGTTATGGAAATGTTTGAAATAGCGTGAGAATGACCCAGATGGGTACAGAAACGTGATGTGAGCTCGGACTGATGGAGGAAATGGTGCTGATAGACCTGCTCGAAGCAGGAGAGAGAGTCTTGGATCTTCAGCTGGTAAAAAAATAGGGTTATCTTCAAAGTGTAATGAAACAAGATAGGGCCGTATCTCTAAGATATAAAAGGAACATTTACGAGTTAATTTTTAAAAGGCAAGTTCTGCTCTAGAAGTAAGTGGAAAGCAAGATTGAAGAGAAGAAATGTAAATGGCCGAGTGAGCATTTGAAATAAGTTTAACCTTAATATCAAGCAAAGAGAAATAAATGTATCATATTGAGATACTTGTTTGTTTATTGATCCACATTGGGGATAGATAACACCGGAAAGAAAAGTGTAAGTTTTCTAGAGGCAGTTGACAGTCTGCACAAGATTAAACAAACGGCTTGCTTGTAGTAGATGCTGGCAACTTGCTTTTGGCCCTGAGGGCCGCAGTGTGGCGCTGTGCGGGGCCAGCACTGTCCTCACCTGGACTGGGCCTGGGCCACTGTTGATGTCCCTGCCCTCTTTGATGTCCTTCCTCTTTTAAATGGCAGTGGCCAATCTCACTGATGCCCTTCAGGAGACGGAGAAGTAGGCAGAGGGTAATGAGGGTGTCCATTGGAGAGCATCGTTTAAAACAGAAACCAGACACTGCCTCTGTGTCCAGGATAAATGACTGTGTGTGTCAGGGATCTGTCACATCATCACGCAGAATGCTAATCACCCAGATTCATTGACAAGAGTGCATTTTTGTGTATGAGCATATTTTAAACCTCAATTAATTGATAGTAGTATAAATTAATTGACAAGGGTGTCTTTTTTGTTGTATGTTTTCTCTCTGTGTGTGTGTGTGTGTGTATATATATAATTTTTTTTTATTAACTTCATTGAGATTTTAGTAAAAATACACAGAAGAATTTGGGTTTCCATGCTGGTTGAGTTCATAACATACATACTCCTTGATCCCTGCCCCCACTGTGCCGCAGCACTCTTCCCATTTCCTTCCTATATGTACTATTTCTAGCCAGCCTTCTTTCCTGGCCATTGAGCATCAGCTCTGGATGAATGCTGCCCTTTTGCTCGTTTATGATTGGCTCTTCCTCCCAGTGCTGCTGATCACCTTACAGATGTGTCTGCTTGGCTGACATGAAAATCGAGGGGTGATTTCATGCCCAAATTGGAAGGGTGACTGAGGGGCTCTGTGTGTGTGTGTGTGTGTGTGTGTGTATTTTTTTTTGGTGAATGTATGACCTGCCCGCATAGAAGCCTTCTAGAATAGTCCTCGCACCGTGAGCGAGGCCCGCCTTTGGGCGTGGAGGTCTGGGGTGCTGGTGTGGTGCGCAGTGCGGTGCGTGCGTGCTGGGCTGCCCCCGAGGGGTGTTGACTGCTGTGCTCCTCCAGGTCATCAAGGCTGCAGAGGACAGCGCCGTGCAGTACATGAACTTCATGAACGTCATCTTCGCGGCCCAGAAGCAGGTGCGCGGGGCCTTGGCAGTGTGGGGTGACTGACGTGGAAAGGCGTTTTGACCACGTAACCTGGGGACTAGGTCAGGAAGCATGTAACAACAACAGCAGCTCATAGTTTGTAGTAGACACTTCAAGGAACCCTGGTAGCATCGCAGTTAAATGCTTCACTGGAAGCCCCGGGGCCTGTGGTTCGAACCCTCAGCCACTCTGTGAGGCAGTCTGCTTGCATGACGGTTGCAGCTCTGAAAACGACACGGGGCCGCTCTGCTGTGAGGGTCAGGAGGGTTTCTGGGAGTGGAACGCACTTGCCAGAAATTATTCTGATTATGGTTTTATCCCCTAATAATACCCATAAAGGTGCCTACACTACAGGCTACAGGGTGGTGAGGGTCCCAGACCACAGGCTGCATCAGGGAAGGATGCCCAGACTGCAGGCTATGTGGTGGTAAAGGTGCCCAGACTATAGACTACATTGGGGAAGGGCGCCTATAACAAAGGCCGCGTCAGGGAAAGGTGCCCACAGCACAGACTACGTGGTGGTAAAGGTGCCCAGACTACGACTACGTCGGGGAAGGGTGCCTAGAACGAAGGCTGTGTCGGGGAAGGGTGCCTAGAGCACAGGCTATGTGGGTGTGACGGTGCCTCAGTGATACCGGTGAAGGGTCTGTATGGCACTAAACTTCAGTGCTTTATGCTGAACATCATCCAAGGGCCTCGAATTTGGGCACATGCTGGTTAGGAGGGCAGTTCCTGGCTGCTGAAAATTTTTAGGTGCTTGACTGCCAACCCAGAGATCAGTGGTTCAAACTCGCCAGCCAGCCTTGAAGGGGTAGATGAGGCAGTGTGCTTCTGGATAGATTTACGGCCTCTGAAGCCCCACGGGCAGCTCTGCCCCGTACTGCAGGCTCCTTGGACGTCAGAATTACTCATCGTGGTGGGTTTTACTAATCAATCCCTTTGGATCCTGAGCCGTTTGAGAAGATAGTGGATCCTTCCATGGGCCCTGCATACCTGCACAGTTTTGTGGGTAATTGCCGGCCACGTAATCCTTGCCTCAGTTTCCCTGTTTTAGTGAGCTTTGGAAATAATTGGTATTGTCAGGCTGACAAACTGCTGAAATGTTCAGAATGTAGTATTTATAAAACAATTTTTGGTTGAATAGGTTAAAAAAAAACTACAGCTTTCTTAAAACTTAGGGAGCTCTGGTGGCCTAGTGGCAAGAAGCTGCACTGCAATCCCAGAGGCATGCGGTTCGAGTCCACCAGATGCTCTGCTGGAGAAGGAGGGACCATCTCCTCCTGTACCAGTCAGATCACACACACACAAAATAATAATAATAAAAAATTTAAAACACAAAAAATCAGCCTTCGATGTGCACCCACGATGGCTGTTAAGCAAGCGGACCCACTGCCCTCACGCCAGTCCTGAGTCACGGCGAGTCGCCCTGGGTCCCGGGGTTATTTCTTCATGGGAGCAGACAGCCTCATTTTCCTACAGTGGAGCAGCTGGTGCATTTGAACCAGCTACCGTGGGGTTGTTGTACATAGGGTTTTCAGAGGCCTGCTATTTCAGAAGTGGATGGCCAATCCTTCTTCCTAGTCTGTCTTAATGTGAACGTTCCGATTTAGAGGAGTATCAGGCAGACCAGCATTTTATAGAAAAAGTGAAGGGTATATCCCTCATTGTGGAGTTAACCATTAGTGTGTCTGCTATGAGTTGCGAGCGGCACGTAACAAACACCACCACCTTGGGGTTACCAGCCCAAGACTCAAAATGCTGTCGCAGCTGTGACGAGCATGGGGACCCCGAGCGGGGAGTTGGGAGACAGGCTGAGCGGGCTTGCAGCGCCCCGCTCCGCCTCGGTCACCGCAGCCCGGCCACATGCCGGCTGCTCAGCCGCACAGTGTGAAGGAGACGCTGGCCTTCTAGTCACTCCTGCCAGGCGAGCTGCAGCATTTACAGGGAGCTGCGGCGCAGCATGCGTAACCGCAGGGAGTCGTCGCTGTTAATCCTGTGATCATTTCAAATGTCCGTTTCAGAATATTTTGATCGACGCCTGTGTTTTAGACTCCGATTCGGGACTCCTCCAGCAGGTAGGTTCAGAAAGCGTGATCCTGTTTTTGTTGTTGGATGCTGTTAACATGCAGTCTTTCTCTTGCTTTGTTTCTGTCAATCCAGTTCCCTGGCTCCTTCCAGCCCCGTCTTTGCTTTAAGTAACTGTCAATCATTTTGTCTGGTCTTGGTGTTATATGCTATGTTGTATTTGTAACAACATCATCCTTGTTATTATGTGCCTACGTACAATGACATTGTTGCACATAGGTACTAAAGCTCTGAACCGTGAGCCAGTTTCACCATAACCAACACACCTATCCCTGTTACCTCAGCTACTGTGTTGATCCATCTCATCCAAGGTCTTTCTCGCCTGCTCTGTCCTTCCACCCTTTCCAAGAATGATGTCTGTCTCTAGGGACTCGTCTCTCTCAGCCACCTGTCCAAAGCCTGTAAAAGAGTGTTCAAAATCCTTGCCTCCAAGGAGCAGCCTGGTTTCACCTTCTCCAGGGTAAATTTGTTTGTGCTCCTGGCAGCCCGTGGTACGTTAAGTACTCTTCTCCAGCACCACAGCTCAAAGACACTGAATTCTTCTTCTGTCATCACTAGTCATTGTCCAGCTCTGATGTGTAACGAGTAACTGTGAAGTCTATGACTTGAATCAGGTGCACATTATAGAAGTAATTATTATTTTTTTTTAAAAAAAAAGGAACCCAGTACTCATGGGTGATACTCTTTTTTTTGTGAGCCAGTGTTAATTTAACTGAAAGGTAAAGAACAGGGTCTAATTTTTGTTTAAAGAGTATGTCAAGGAAAAGAACTCATAATTTTTTTTTAATGTTAATTTATTATTTTGTGTGTATGTACCATTAAATTGGATGTGACTGGTACAGAAAGGGATTGTCCCTTCTTCTCCAGCAGAGCATCTGGTGGAAGAACTAACAGTTCTTACCTACAGACCAGTTAATAGAGTGTATCAGGACAGTAGTCCCCAGGAATCCTCTGGCTTTTTTAATGTTTATTTTTTGGCATTTTGGGTTTGGTTCCATATTTGTCTGCCGTTCTGTGAGGATCCGTGTGTTGTGGCCCTGCCAGCATGACTGGGCTCCATCTAGTTGCTTGGTCCTGGTGAGAGGAGGCCGTTTCCTTCACTGCCGTACCCTGCCAGCTGCTCCTTCAAAGGCCCTGAAGCAGGGCTGGCAGGAGGGTGCCCGTGGTGCCCAGAACTGTGCCAAGTGCACGCTTGTGTGGCCATCAGTCCTCTGTGTCTTGCAGGCCTGTGACATCACGGGGGGCCTGTACCTGAAGGTGCCGCAGATGCCCTCGCTCCTGCAGTATTTGCTGGTAAGGACCCAGGAACAGGGACCCAGCCCCCGAGGGGACCCTGCAGACTGGAGAGAATAAGATGAGCTTTGGGAATGGTTGCAGGGAAGGCAAACTGGGTGAGGTTGGTGGGCTCCAGGTTGTCTCTGCACCCCGTAAAATGGTTCACAGAGTCTTCCTACTGTCCATTCACACAACATGCCAGTGGACAGTAAGGGTTCAGTAACGAAACCCACCCCGAGACTGTCGCCAAACCGAGTGTCGTGGAGTGAATTTGGACTCACGCAATCCTGTACATGTGCCACAGAACTGTACTATGTGGGGTTTATGAGGGTGTCAGAAGCAGGTCACCACGGGCCTCTAGGTGGCCTTGACTGAACAAATGAGAAAACCCACTGCCGTCGCTCAACCCCGATTGGCATCGGCTGCACGACACAGTAGCCCTGCTTGTGGAGTTTCCACAGTGATGCATCTTTACAGAAGCGAGCTGCCTCATCCGTCTCCTGAGTTAAGCATTTCATTTGGCTGCTATGCAGAAGGTCGCTAGTTCAAACCCACCAGCTGCTCCATGGGAGACAATGAGGCGGTCACTTGTGTAAAGATCATTCTTGGAGACCTCGTGGAGTAGCTCCGCTCTGTCCTAGAGGTTTCGCGAGACGGGATCTCATCCCAGGCGTCATGCTTTGTTTGTGTTTCTCTTTTTAACTTCCCATTATACCCCTGCCCCCCGTTTTACCATTTCCTGCAGTGGGTTTTCCTTCCTGATCAAGACCAGAGGTCCCAGCTAATCCTCCCACCCCCGATTCACGTGGACTACAGGGCTGCCTGCTTCTGCCACCGGAACCTCATTGAGATCGGCTACGTGTGCTCCGTGTGCCTGTCAAGTAGGTTCCTGGGCTGCGGTGGGCGGGAGGGCAGTGCATAACGTGGCTTTCTGGGGTTTTAATTATCCTGCTTTTTCTTCCCTGACCCCACAGTCTTCTGCAACTTCAGCCCCATCTGCACCACGTGCGAGTGAGTATCTTTGCGGCTTGGGGAGGCTCATGGTTTAGAGATCAGAGCAGTAATGTCCGTTTCCTCTCTGCTTTCAGGACTGCCTTCAAGATTTCGCTGCCTCCTGTGCTCAAGGCTAAGAAAAAGAAATTGAAAGTATCCGCTTGAGAAGAAAACCCTTTTCCCACCTTTTTGAGCGGTTGACAGGTGCCCTGGAACCTCCTGACTCTCAGTGGTCCTTGTCCTGCAGCAGCAGGAGACGCCGGCCGGCCGGCCCTGTGCAGTCCTCACAGCCTCTGGTCTGCTGTGTGCAAGCTCGTCGCTGCCGCTGCTGTGCTGTTCCATCTCATGGAGAATTTCTTCTCTCTTGACCCTCCACTTGACCAGGAGTGATAAGTCCCCCCAGGGACTGGCCACTTCTGATCACATGACAAAAATACAGGAGACAGAGTCTGGCCAGCCTCGCTTTGAAAAAGTAGGATAGAAATTGTGTGGTCAAATTTTTGTGGGAAAGGCTCTTATGAAATACAGACGGGAAGATTGTTTTTAAGGTGGGCCTTAGTTTCTTACACAAAATCTTTCCCAAATCACCTTCTTATTTTGCATTTCTGGGGGCTGATATGTTTGGTTGGGTCATTCTTTGGAATGTATTTTTCCGTCTTCTTCAGCTGGAGTTTGTGCGGAAAAGGGGAGAAAGCATGACAGGTGTGTAAATATCATGGTCATTTTTTTCCAAAGTCTGACTGTTAGGACTGATTGTAGATGTAGCATCAACAGGGCAGGGCCAGATTGAGGCCCTTCCTGTGGCGTGTTCAATGCCGGAAATCCGAACACAGGGTGTGAAGGAAATGGGCACCTGTTCACTGAGGGACTAGGGGCCTTAAGGTAGAAATTCTTCCTTAACCAGGTGTTAATGCTCAAGTCGTCATTTAAATAAAACCCGTCTTGTCTAAGTTGAGACTTGCTCCTCTCTGTGTTCAGATGTCAGCAGGTGCTTTAACGTTTCCTCGACATCAGGTACATGTTTGCATTGAGTTCTCCAGAGAGTCATACCTGTTTGTTCATGAAGAAACTAGTACCTCGTTTTAAATGAGGAAGACTCATGAGTGTCTTCATCTGTTAGCAAACTGTCATAAACAGCTATGTTCTTAACCGTTAAGGCTTTCTTTGTGAAAACTAATATTCCCCTTCCTGAGAGGGAATTTCTTGGGCTGAATGGAAGAAACTCAACAATGAGTTAATGAAGTGCGCACCAGGTGGAATTATTTTCTTTTTCAGTGGGGGAGTGGGAGCATTCGTGCTGGGGAACAGTTATCTACGGGAGCCCGGTGGTGCAGTGGTTAGGTGCTCAGCACTAACCCAGCGGCCTTCCACAGGAGAAGGACCTGTCAGTCAGCTTGCACAGCGATGTACCGCCTCGGAACCTCTGGGGGCCAGCTGAGCTCTGTCCTCTGGGGTCACTAGACGTCGCGATCAACTCATGGCAGGGGGTTTGGTTATCTAGCAGCTTTCACTGAATAGTGAAAACTTCTCCCAGTTTAAAAGTTATTTTTAATTTCAACAATACAAAAATTGTTTTCCGTGTGGCTGGGAAGTGATCCAAGCCCCGTTTGAGTTCCAATGCAGTGCCGGACGGCTGAGGAGCAGAGCTGGTCAGGTCTGCTCAGAAAGTATATTGACAACGATTTACTTGTGTCTGCAACCTGTCTGTAAATGCAGGGGAATTTCCTCTGGATGTAATCTCAGAAGCTGAATACCATATAAGGTATTGTGTTTGGGTCTAGGTCATTTCTGGTGGAATTTATATTCTAGACTTGTAAACCACAAGTTTATAGCAAGTACACAGATTTTGCTTATCACTTTGCCACTGTAAATCCTGAAGTTTGAGAATGTGTTTGTGCATATGGCCCCTTTGAAAGCAGTATGTAATATTTCGCAACCTAAAGGTGTGTAATGGGAACCAGCATTGTGGTGACTTGTACCCACCGTGCCGGATGCAGCTTAACTCAGAGGTGAAAAACCTGCAGCAAACCGATGAACTTTTCTCTGATACGTTTTCATTGTGGCTGTTTTATATATTTGCTGAATTCTGTTTTCACTTTAACTGTTGTATTTGTGGTTTATTTTATATACATTTTCTAATATAACCATTTAAATTTTTACACCTATTGTTGTGTCTGAATCTTATTCAACCTCTCTTAAAGTGTGTGTACTTTTTTAATCTGGGTTGGTCAAATGCCAGATGTTTTTCTTCACATCAGAAGAATTTTCATATCAGATCTTGCCACAGTTATAGGTGGAAGATACAAATTTATTATACAGCTTGGTGTCAAGTATTTAAGGATCCCTGGGGATGCAGTGATTAAGCATTCAGCTGTGAACTGAAAGGTCAGCATTTTGAGGCAGCCAGCCACTCCTTGGAAGAAAGACCGGGCAGTCTGTGGGTGTAAAGAGTATAGGTGGGACACTCTCATGGACAGTTCTGCCTCGCTGCTGCTGAGCCGGAATCCACTGGACAGCTCACACATTAACTAAAACACAGTTTCTAAGTATGACGTTATTAGACCAGAGCTTTGATGTTTATATTTCATTTTATTTGACCGCTGTTTGAAAAATTATTTGACGTTTTCATTGGATAAAGCAACCTGGTTTTAATGTCAGAAAAGCTTTACTATCCTGTAACAGTTTGATTCAGAGAAAATTATTCTTATCAAATATAGGCACGTTGTATTTTGTATTTCTTACAAAACCGAAGGGCCTATGGTAATTGTAGCAATTCAAAGCCACTAGCTGCCCCACTGATGAGCAGTGGGAGGAGTCCTGTAAAGATTTTATAGCTTCCAAAGCCTGCTAAATAGAACAGTGGGGTTTGGGGTCTTTTTGTTTGTTGGTTTGGGTTTTGTTGTTATTGTTGTGTACCATCCAGTTGGATCCGACTGGCACAGGAGGAGATTGCCCCTCTTCCAGCGGAGCACCTATTGGATTTGAACTGTGTGCCTTGGGGATTGCAGCGCAGCTTCTTGCCACTAGAGTTCCCTGGGTTTGGGGTTTTGACACCATTCTGTTACTGCAGGCCCTCACTCTGCCTGGCTTTGCCAAGGTTCATCATAAATATGGAGTTTTTACCCAGTAACACATCACGCTTGTAGGCTTGCCCTTGCAGTGTGGCGGAATTAACCCCCGTAGGAGAAATTTCAGTATTTACGCGGCACACGGAGGAGAAATTCCAGTATTTACAGTGCACACGGAGGAGAAATCCCAGTATTTACACTGCACACGGAGGAGAAATCCCAGTATTTACACTGCACACGGAGGAGAAACTCCAGTATTTACACGGCACATGGAGGAGAAATCCCAGTATTTACAGTGCACACGGAGGAGAAATCCCAGGATTTACACTGCACACGGAGGAGAAATCCCAGTATTTACACGGCACACGGAGGAGAAATCCCAGTATTTACACTGCACACGGAGGAGAAACTCCAGTATTTAAAGTTGCACACGGAGGAGAAATTCCAGTATTTAAAGTTAGACACGTTGCCCGAGGTTTACAATCCATTAAAGGGTTAAGTGTCAGAAGGCGCGCAGGTCACGTGGGCAGTGACGCAGAGCGCCGCTGGTCCAATCGCAGCGCGCACCTCCCCCTAGCCAGCAGCTGGTTGGCGGTTGCCATAGCGCCCGGCGCTCGCTTGGCAAGATGGCGGCGGCGCGGCGGGCGCGGCGCTCCCGGATCCCCGGCGGCCTCGCGCTCTGAAGCGGCCGCGTTTCCGGCGAGCGAGCCGGGCCCCGGGACATGGGCTTCCCGCCGGCCGCCGCCTCTATCCTCCTGGGGCTCCTTCTGCAGGGCCTCCTGGAGCCGCTGCGCGGGGAACTGGGTGTGTAGTGCGTGCTGGACCCTCACGGCCAGGGGCTGGGGGACAGGAGTGGACACGGAATGCCTGGGGAGCCCCTGGAGGACACAGCCACTCAGATCACTCCCCAGAGCACAGTGTGTGCAGCGATCGCGGCTGCTGACCGTGCCCCTCCCTCCCTCCCTCCTTCCTAGTCTTCATCCCTCCGGTCATCCGCATGTCCAGCACCGAGGTCAGCGCCAGCCTGCTTGGAGGCACCGAGGACGTGACCGTGTCCCTGGCCCTGCTGCAGGACGCGGCGGGTAAGGAGAGCCCAGTCCTGCCAGTGGTGAGGCTTGGGGGGGTTGCCTCTGTCCCCCGCAAGTGAGAGAGGGGCAGGCGTGCTCGCCCAGCTCCTCTGCCACGAAATTTTACGGAAGGAAAAGTGCAAATCCCCGTAGCTAGCTAACCCCCGCCCTTAGCTTTGCGTGCCTCCCGTGCATCCCTCAGTTTACTTGGAGAAAAGAATATTTAGCAGTTTCAGAAAGGATCCCTGGAGACCCCGTGGTTAAAGGTCCAGGCAAGTGACCTTAACGTGGTGGGTTCGAATCTGCCGGCCACCCAGCGGGAGGCGGCCATGGAAGTCTTCTCCAGTAAAGATTTACAGCCTTGGAAACCTCGTGGGTCAGCTACACTCTGTCCTCCAGGGTCCCCGTTATTTGGAATTGACACCACAGAAAGCGATTTGGGTGTTTTGGATTCCCCCCACCCAGTTGGCATAAGTAGCAGCACCAGTTCAGAGACACTGTCACCTGCCCAAAGGTCACACAGCCTCTCTCCCTCAGGAGTGCTGTCCGTTCCCACTTGTGGCGTGCCCAGCAATGAGACAGGAGGCTGGAGTTTGACTGTGACCCCCAGCATGGTAAGACCAGAGGTGGAACTTTCCAGTGACCCCCGCCCCCAGAAGTCTGCAGGGTTGTTCTCTCTGGATATCACCAGATACCACTTTCTCAGGGCGTAGAACAGAGCCCCTGGGAGGTGTACATAGCTAACGGAAGGAAAGAGCTTTAAATCCCCTCAGGGCACCTTGGAAGAAAGGCCTGAAACTCTCCTCCTGCACAGGCAGCGTCTGAAAACCCTAGGGAGCACGGTTCTACCTTTTCCACACCCCAGGTTGTCATGATGACACGATGCCCAAGCACTATGAGGTTGTGGGGTCTGCTGGACAGAGGACCACTCCAGAGCTTCTTGGCCCAGAGTGGAGTCCTTTGAGCAGATCTCCAGACCTTTCTCCCACAGTGCTCCTGGTGGCTTGGAACCACTAGCCTGGTGGCACAGTGGTTAGGTGCTCCACTATGAACCAAATGGTTGATGGTTTGAACACACCATCTGCTCTCGCGGAGAGAGATGTACCAGTGTGTTTCCGTAAAGACGGCAGCCTGGGGAAGGCTATGGGGCAGTTCTACTCCGTCCCATATTAGACAGAATGGACACAATGGGAGCAAGTTTAGATGTATTTGTAGGAGTGTGTGATTCTTGGAATCTGTAAGAGTGTGCATGTGTGATCAGAGGTCAGCTAGCTTGTGTCATATTATTAAATGACAGCTTCAGTTTGTTTGGCTCTACAGTCAACACTCTTGGTACCAGCAGCCAGGAAATTAAAAGACGAATTGCATTGGGAAAGTCTGCTGTCAGAGACTTCACCAAGGTACTGAGGAGAAACGATGTACTAAGGTGCGCCTGATACAGAACATGGTCTTTGCAATTACTTGTGCATCAGAGAGCTGGACAATGACTAGAGATGATAGAAGGAGAATTGATGCCTTTGAGCTGTGGTGCTGGAGAAGTGTTGAATATACCATGGACTGCCAAGAGAACAAACAGGTTCATCCTAGAGAGGGTGAAACCAGAATGCCCCTTGGAGGCAAGGATTCTGAAGCTTCGTCTGACGTACTTTGGACATGCTGTAAGGAGGGACCAATCCTTGGAGAGGGACGTCATGCTTGGGAGGGTGGAGGGACAGTGCAGGAGAGGAAGACCCTCGATGAGATGGATCGATTCAGTGACTGGGGTCATGGTGGTAGTTGTATCAGAGACAATAAGATTGGTACAGGATAGAGCAGGGTTTAGGGCTGTAGTACATAGGGTCACTGAGTCGCAGACGACTTGACAGCACATAACGACAGTGAAACCAGGAGTTTGGAAACCACTGGTTTCACCTAGCCCTGTGTATGTTTGAGAGCGCTCAAACCTGGAGAAGTGAAACATCTTCCACTGAGTAAATGCGTCCTGAGTGTGTAAGGAGCCCTGGTGGCACAGTGCGTACTGTATTGGTTCAGATTCCTCCGCTCAGCAGGAGAAAGGATTTACAGTCCCTGACGAAGGCTCTGCAAGTTGTCCCCGACTCACCGAGAGGGCTTGTTTTTGTGTGTCGTTGAGTGTATTCTGTGTGTGCACCCTGGGTTTGTCAGGAGGAGAGAGACAGACTCTGCTTGCCAGGAGGAGAGAGACAGACTCTGCTTGCCAGGAGGAGAGAGACAGACTCTGCTTGCCAGGAGGAGAGAGACAGACTCTGCTTGCCAGGAGGAATGACGTTTTAGGGGGCTTGTCCAGAGTAAATTGGAGATGTGCCCAAGGACTTCTTTGTGTTTTGAATCTGCTGGCGGGATGGTCAGCTCAGATGCTGCTTGACCACCTGAGTGCATTTGTCGGACCTGTGTCCAGCTTTCTGGAATTATCTAGAGAGACTGCTTGAGCTCATGGTGAAGGGCAGGTTAGGAATCAGGACTTCTGAGGGGTGGTAGGATCGTTGCTGGTGAGTGCCAGCGAGCCGAGTCTGTCTGATGACGAGCTGTCGGCCTTTGAGGAGCCGTGGTGGCAGAGTGCACAGGCTTGCCCGCAGGGAAGGCAGCGGTTTGACTCACCAGCTGTTCCTGAGGGAGGAAGAGGAGGCAGCTTGCTCCTGTGCACGAGGGCAGCACTGGAAACCACGAGGGACCCTTCCTCCCTTCCCTGGAGGGAGTTGAAGTTGAGATCAATGCAGCAGTAACACGTTGGACTCAGACTGACACGTTTCTCCCCCCAGATTGCCTCTCCCCAGTGAGGGTTGGCTTGTGACCTTCACAGGTGGGTGCGTGTTGCCAGGTCTTTTTTGTGAGGTGGTGTCCAACTGCCAGTCTTTCTGCCAGCAGCCAAGCTCTTAACCACGGCACCACCAGGACTCTTCTGTCATAGCCTTCCAGGGTGGCCACGAACGGATGAGTTCATCTCTGTACAGAGTTCTCCTTGGATGAGGAGAACCGAGGCCGAGCTGTGCTTGGGCCGTGCTCGCTTCCCTTCTCACAGTTGTTATGTGAAGGTGCCGGTCCCCGTGCACAGCGCTGTTTGTTTTTCAGAACACGTTGGAAGTGACGGTGCGGCTGGAGAGGGCCACGGACTGGTGTGCCTCCAACGGGACGGATTCCTTCCCGGGGTCCCCGTGCCTCGTGCAGACGCTGCTGGTGTCGGCGTCTCACCACGCTTCCTGCTCAGCTCATTTACTCATTCAGGCGGAGATTTATGCCAACTCCTCCCTGGCCCATAATGCATCAGGCAAGTCTAAGCTCTCACGGCTCTGGAGCCGAGGCCGGCTCTGCCGTCTTTCTGTTGATTTTGCTGACTTGACCTCGGTGGTGAATTTGTGTTCTCATCTTAAACGTGTTTCCTTTTGTTTCGTTTACTTCCATATGCTTTCAGTTTGTTCTGTTTTCTTTCTATTTGTGTGTGTGTGTGTGTGTGTGTGTGTGTACCATCAAATCGGATCTGACTGGTACAGGAGGAGATTGTCCCTCCTTCTCCAGCAGAGCATCTGGTGGATTTGAACCGTGTACCTCTGGAATTGCAGTGCAGCTTCTTGCCACTAGGCCACCAGAGCGCGCCAGTTTGCTCTGTTTTAAGTAAGATTTCTTTCTTTCTTTTTTTTTTAAATTTTATTATTTGTGTACTGTCAAATCAGATCTGACTGGTACAGGAGGAGATTGTCCCTCCTTCTCCAGCAGAGCATCTGGTGGGTGGATTCGAACCATGCACCTCTGGGATTGTAGTGCAACTTCTTGCAACTTCTTGCCACTAGGCCACCAGAGCTCCCCTTTAAGTAAGATTTCTTCTTGTCTTACTTGACTGCTCATATCTTGGTGAGCTGCCTTCAGTCTATTGGGCGGAACCACAGGCCACAGCTGCCACCACTGAGTCAGTTCTGTTCTGACAGCAGCATGTAGGACCACGTAGGGCGGCCCGGTAGACTTTCTAAGGCAGCAATCTTTATGCAGACACCCTGCCTGAGTTTTCTCCCTCCTTGGGAGTGGCTGGTGGGTTTGAACCCCTGACCTTTTCATTGACAACTGAGCCTTATTAACCACCAGAGCTGGTTCTTAGGGAGAAGATAAAATATGAACAGGTGCCTTCTTTCTACTTACTGATTTCTATGACTCAGTCTTTTTAAAAAAAGAGGAAAGGATTCCTGAGGTTATAGAGAAGGTATTTATTAGAGAGTTTATAGAAAAAGTAACACTGAAAAGTAGCTTTTCAGTGAAAAGTTTTAACTCCCAACTCCTCTTTCAAGAGGCAGACTTATGCCAGAAACCAGGGCCTCTTTTTAAAAAATATACAATCAAGCCACACTATTTTATACCTTGGCATTTTTAGATAATTTTCTAGACTGGTTTTTTTTTGTTATTTTTTTAAATCTTATTTTTATTTATTTTTTTAAATGAGATTTTAATGAAAGTTTATAAAGACCTTGGGTTTTGGGTTTCCAATCGTTCATTGTTGCACATTTTCCTCTCTGCCTCCGCCCCCCAGATCGCTTTTTTCTTGGGGAAAAAAGTTCTTTCATTGTTGTACAGACCCCCACCCCAACCCCTAGACTGTGGTTTTGGGTATGTGTGTCTCACATTTAGGGAGCTCGCGTGGCCCCGCTGCAAGGAGCAGTGCTGTCCACCTGCAGGCTCGTGACTCAGGTCACCAGCTGCTCTCGGGGAGACAGAGGGACAGTCGCCTGCTCTGTGCTTCCTGCCTCTGAAAGCCCACTGGAGGGCCAGCTGTGGGTTAGTTTTGACTCAACAGCAAACACCACCACCACACACCGCCACCCATTTTGCTGGGTACAACTTAGTGCTTATTAATTTGAATCACCGTGTTGTACGACCCTCAGCACGTTCTCTTCCCTGAACTTACTGTCGTGCTAAACAGGGAATCTGTGTGCAGGAGGCACCGCCCGTTATTCCGCCCCTCAGTTCCTGGTATCTCCCAGGGCCAGTCTGGTCTCTGCGAAGTCTCCTCTTCTGGGCATTTCCCGCAGGTGGGATTACAGAGCCTGTGGTCTTATGTGTTGGCTTCGAGGGGCCTCTGGTTAGTGCTCAGTGTGTTATAGTGGTAATCGACACACAGTCTCCTCCCACTAAAGTTTACACCCTCAGAAACCGAGCGAATGAGTCAGGATTGATTCAAAAGCAGTAGCTTCAATTTTGGGTTTTTCTCCCTTCGTATGTTTTCAGGATTCACCTATGTTGTAGCTTGTATGGAAGGACTTCTTTTCTTTGACATAACAGTTCAGCCGTCCTGTCTCTGTGCGTGCCCTGTTTTGGATCATCTCACAAGACTTTTTATGACGCTCTTACACATTTCAGATGACAGTCACGTATGAAGACTTCTTAGGCATTGGGAAACCAAAAAATGCGGGCGACTCGATTTCCCTCCCCCCCCATTATTCACTTTATTGTGGTCTGCAGATATTTCTGTGATATGTATGGATTCCGTTGTCTGGATAGACCAGGTCGCTACCTGAGGCATCCTTTACCTGAGGGAACTGAACTCTTTTCTGGTTTTTGGCTTCAGCTGTCTTCACTGGGCATGGAGCACGCCTTCGGATGGGAAGCGTGGCTCTGCACCGTCTAAGCACAGAAGACCCTGACGGTGGAGGTGCTGGTTGAAGGCTTAGGCATCACTTCCCTCCGTCCTCCTTTGTCACATCTGTGTCCATTACAAACTCCAGCACCTCTGGCCTCTACAGTCAGCTAGATGGAGAATGGAGGGGGAGGCTTTCCTAAGTAGGAGTCAGACCCCTCGCTTTCACTTCTGCTGTCACTTCCTGTACTCGTCATAGCCTCTATCTGAGTTCCTCCCTGTGGTTCTGGAAGTTTGCATGGATTAAGTCCAGACTCTCCCATCTTCTGTGTCTCTACGTGGATACACCTCAGAGTTGCCTTTTGGTCCTGATTCCGTTAATGATACTGAAATGAAGCAAGTCACACGAATCTTTTGTTTTCTGGTGTATTTCAGAGTTAGAGGTTGATAGGTCACTGTTGTCTGCTAAGTGTGTAACAGTATGCGGCAAAAAAGGTCCAACTATTTTGAGAATGACTAAAATGTGACAGGTGTACAGTGAGCTCATGCTGTGGGGGAAATTGCACGTCCAGACTTGCTTGACAGAGCATTGTCATAAATCATCTGTGTGTTCAAAACCCCACGGCATCAGGGAAGCACGAGGTGGAGATCGATAGAACGAAATTCACACCAGATGCTCTGCCGGGGAAGGAGGGACAATTTCCTCCTGTACCAGTCAGATCTGATTTGACGGTACACGCATACACAAAAATAATAAAAATTTAAAAAAATTAAAAAAAAAACAAAACCAAAAATGAAATTCACTTGTTTAGAAAGGTTCCAGAGATAGATCATCAAGTGAGGGGAGAGCCCCAAAACAGCCCAAGTGCAGATGGGTACCTAGAATGTGCTGTCTCTAGTTTCAAAGGAGTGTGGGGGTTTGTTCCCCAGGAAGAAAGTCCGTCAAGGTTCATGTTTGCAGATGGACCAAAAAAGTGACCCGGAGACGGACTAAGAGCGTTGTTGTTATTATTGGCACCGTTGTTATTGTTAGGTACTGTCGAGTGGACTCTGACTCCGAGTGACCCTGTGAACAACAGATCTGAGCCCCGTTCTATCTCGTGCCATCCTTGTACCTCTGACACATCTGGGCCCATTGCTGCAGTCGTGTGTCAGTCCAGCTGGTTGAGGGTCTTCCTCTGCTTACTGACCCTCCACCTTTCTAGGTGTGATGTCCCTTTCCTAGGAAGAGCCTCTGTTAGCAACCTGACCCACAGGAATCTCACTGAAGCGGGGAGGTGCAGGGTTGTAAGGACCTGGTGGCAGCTGACCAGGAGACTTTTCCTCTAAACATGAGGAGAAGTGGCTGCTTTATGGTCCTACACAACCAACCCCCAATACACAGCAAAAGAAAGAATTTCATCCACCAGACATTCTGCTGGAGAAGGAGGGGCAATCTCCTCCTGTACCTGTCACATTCAATTTGATGGTACATACACACGTTAAAAAAAAATAAAAATTCATAGGCTGATGGAAAATGCTAATACCAGTGCTTCCTTTAAGGGGAAACCCATAACCTGCTTGATATCTATCTAGTTCTGCAAACATGGCTAAAAGCAATAGAGGGAACGGTCAGTTTGCACTCATTCTGGGAATAAATAAGTCTAAGGAGACCTTAGCTAGCATATAATAAGTGTTGTCATTTGGGGGCATTTATAGGATTAAGCATGGAAGGAGTTAGAAGCAAGCATATATTGGGAGAGAGAGATTCTGGAAGGATATCTGAGAAGTGTACAGCCTGCTACCAAGTCTTGGCAGATGTGGGTGCTTGTAGGAGCAGAGAGTGAGGGCTTTCACCAGGTACTTGTTTTAGTGTCCTTTTGATTTTTTTTTAATCATATGAATGTATTACCTATTTAAAGGTTTAAATAAACAGTACATTTTTCAGCGTTTAGAATTTAAAGTGAACTCAAATTGTTATTAATTGGTTGTTTTTAAAAAAAAACCCCGTCCACCCCACTTTGTTATTGGTGCATGTGTTGAGATGAATCCGGCGACCGCTGTGACAGGACAGAGCTGCTCCAGAGGGCTCCCTGGCTGGAATCTTTGAGCCAAACGGCTAACAAGATAAATGGGAAGTATAACATCACGGGGTCGGTGGAGACCCTTGACTGTGTTGCGGACTGCAGAAGAACGCACAAAGCAGTCTTAGGACACGTGTGGCCCCGTGGACGGGAGGATGGCAAAAGCCTAACTCACGTGCTGTGGGCTACGTTGTCAGGGGGGACTAGTCCCTGGAGGAGACCGTCACGCGGGCAGGTGGTGCAAAGGGGAGGACCCTGCATAAGAGGGACAGACTGACCGACTGACCCCATGGCTGCAGCAGCGGGCCCAGCAAGGCGGTGACAGTGGCCAGCGCGGGCAGGGGGGGTGTTGTGATGGAGCCAAGTTCATGATGAACGAGAGCCGCTCTACAGGTCCAGCAGCTGCGTAACAGGCAGAGCTGTGACTTCTTCCCTCCTTTAAAAGATGCTTCTATGCTGTTGTTGTTCTTTCGTGCCCCTGAATTTATGATTCATGGTGGCCCCCTGGACGCAGCTCTGAGCCTCGGCCTTTCCTGCTCTGTCCTCACAATCTCGGACGTGCCCGAGCCTATTGTCATGGTCACTGTCTCAGTAGACCTTGTTCAAGTTCTCTTTCTTTGACCTTCCCCCTTTTGCAGCATGATGCCTTTTTCCAAGGGCTGGGCCCTTCTGACAACATGCAAAGGTTTAAGAGATGGAATTCCTTCCCGCCTGCCTCCAAGGAGCGATTAGATAATATTTCAGAATGCCGTTGTACGAATAGCCAAACCGTAGAAATGTAGAATCTTTCCTAGTAGTATTTATGAGATGTCCACTCTGACCCTGTGAAGGTATGAAAAGTTTTGCAGCCATGCAGACAGAGACGAGGACAAGGACAGAAGGACAGACAGCAGGTACGTGGGGTGCCTAGATCACCGAGCTTTCTAGAGCATGTTGTCCCAGGGGCTGAGCAAGCAACGCAGGCGACATGGACAGATCCACCAACGTCTGTCTGTATGTCACATAGTAAAACCCTACCCTGAAACGCCCTGGGCTGCCCGCAGGCCGGGTTACACAGAGACTCAGGCTTCGCTGTGGTGACAGTCTGTCACGTGGGCCACCTTGTTCCTGGGTCCCATGGGCTTAACTAGGGTTCTACTATCTCGTGGCGTAGGCTGTATGATTAGTTGTCTGGATGCTTTAACTTTAGCAGGTACACAGAATATGCACAAATGATCACTGTGTTTCCCCAGCGTGTACCGAGTCCTAGGACAAACAGAAAATCTAACAGATTGAAACAAAACATCTGTGAGACATGTGTGTCTGTGTAACAACCTTTTTGTCAAAGCCTCAGCTGTCACATGTCTTGTTCGTGATGTTTATCATGTCATACCACCACCACTGCCCCTTTCCACATTCTACCACCCCCTTTAGAGGCACCCCCTAAGAAATGAGTGCCTTCACCCAAACCCCGCCCTCTTCCGCACCGGTAAGCACACGTGAGCCTTGGTCTCTGGACGTTGGTATGTTTGGTCTAAGTATTGTCCTGAGGTTGACTGATTTTGCCCAACGCAAGGCTTCAGGGGTCAGTCGTGCTGGAGCGTGTATTAGGGCTTCCTGTCTCTCTGCGGATGAGGATGACACATCTGTCAGATCAGTGACCGCAAGGGACTGGCAAGTGTAACATCCTTTGGGTCACAAGGCTGAAATTTGTAACGTGCTCCTTTCTTTAAGGTAAGCGGAAAGTCCAAAAAACTCCCGATATCCTGAAGTGTCAGCAGTAAGCCGTGGGAACTTGACCTGTTCATAGGACACATTTTCCCTGTTTCTATCAGCCTCTTCATCTATTACCACACTTTAACTTTATTATTTTCTATTACCCACTGTCTCATCAGCAGCCTTTTGGAGTATCACATTGTCTACTCGGTTGGTTTCACGACCTGTGATCTGTCCCTGTTCAGGTCTCCCTCTCTCTGCCCCCAGAGTGTGGTGTCCATCCACTTCAGCCTTCTGTTTATAACTCTTGGAAGCCCCTCGCTGCCCATGATGAGTCCTGGAACCTGGCTGGACCCCCCTGCCTGGACCTGGATCCGACCCCCTTGGTGGGGAGCACTTTACGATACGAGGTCCCAGCCTCAGCCCAGTGGACAGTGGTTTCTTTGGCTGGAGAACACCCGCCTTTTCCCACCTCCTCCCCCCCCCACCCGGTCTCACCTGGTCAGCCTCCTCTCTCCCCTTCAGGCTCAGTTCAGTTAACGTCTCAGATGCCCAGCCTAGGCCATGTGCCCTTCTGGGTTCTCATGACGCCTGTTCTGTGGTTTACTCCTTTATGGTCATGTTACCTGGTTACCTGACTCCCCTTTCTGTTAGTGAAGGTTCCTTAAGGGAAACTGCTGTGTCTCCCTGTGTCACCAGGACACAGCTCCTAGCAGACGAGAGTGCATTAGGGACTGGAGGGTGAGCACGTACTGTGATTGACTAGATCTCACAGTTGGACGGCTTCCTGATCTGCGATGGGAAATGTCACCGTGACTTCAGCATTCTCTGTTGAAAGAGGCTTTGCATTGGAAGGAGTCAATGCACAATACGCACCTGTGTCACATAAAGGATTGTTCTGTTCATTGAGACTTGAGTGCATTAGACTTGGCCTAACTGTGGGTGGGTTAGTTGTCTTCAAGATGGACCTCCTTATCACAGGGTCTTTTCTCCCCGTGGGTTTCAGCGTTCCTCTCTGTGCGTGGAGTGGATGCGCAGTGAGGCGTTCAGTGTGTTGGAAGCTCAGATCCTTGGAGTGGTTCCGTGATGTGTGGTGGACGTGGTCGTCTCCAAAACAAACGACTGGCTTTGGGGCATCAGGCATGTGGTGGGACACGCCAGTGCTTCCTCAGAGGATTTCTCACTCGCCTCGTCTGTTGTTTGTGCCTTTCAGAGAACACGACAGTTATTCCCAACCAGGTCTACCAGCCCCTCGGCCCTTGTCCCTGTAACTTGACAGCGGGGGCCTGTGACATCCGCTGCTGTTGTGACCAGGTACGTCCCCTCTGTTAACAGGGTGCAGGGGTTATGCCACCCAGGAGCACGGGGCGAGCACCCGTGGTTCCCCATCTGCAGCTGTTTGTGAATAGGCTTTCAAAAGGGAGGTTACGTCGTGTTGCAAACTGTTTTCCCCAGGGGTATCATCTCTCTTTCCTTTTAACCTTTGGTTGTGGGCTGAGTCGGTGTTAATGGAGCCGGTTGGTCTGCCATCCACCATTCCCACAGATCTGCTTCGTGGCTCTGACTCCTGTCCCCACATTGCACTCCTCATGCCTGCCCCTTCTTCCTGCGTCCATTCATCCTGCCTTCCTCTGGCCTCTGTCTTCTGAGCATCAGCCCCGGGCCGGTGCTGCCCCTGTGATCCTCTCGAAGGGCTGAGTCACTCCCTGGTGTCGTGACTCTCCTGGTCGACTTGTCTGTACTGTAACTGAAAGTTATGCCACAGGAATGAGCTCGGCTCCAGGATCAAAGTGTAACCAAGGGCCCTGGGTCCCACCGGCCTCCATCAGAACAGCCTGCTTGGCCGGGGACTTGGAGTTCTGCTGCACGTTTCTCTCCCACCCTCTCTCTCCAGGCCCCTGTACTGTGACCCCTCTCAGAGTGTCAGCACCAATCCCCGGACCTTCTAGTTCTTCTCATCTCAGAGTTACAATATCTTCTCGTAGAGGTTCGGCCGTTTGTGGAAGGGAAAAAAGAAATGATTGCATGTATGTGCAGAATCATGATTGTTAAAATTATACTGAAGGATGGTTTTAATCTTACGTAGAAGTTTGTAAGGGGCTTTCTACAAAGATGGTGTCTAAAGCGAAGAAGGAAGCCCCTGCCCCTCCCGAAACTGAAGCCAAAGCAAAGGCATTCAAGGCCAAGAAGGCAGCGGTCCTGAAGGGCGTCCACAGCCACAAAAAAAAGAGAAGATCCTCACGTCACCCACCTTCCAGCGGCCTAAGACGCTGAGACTCCGACGGCAGCCCAGATACCCCCGGAAGAGCGCTCCCAGGAGAAACCAGCTTGACCACTATGCCAGCATCAAATTTCCCCTGACCACTGAGTCAGCTATGAAGAAGAAAGAAGATAACAATGCATTTGTGTTCATTGTGGATGTCAAGGCCAACAAGCACCAAATTAAACAAGCTGTAAAGAAGCTCTATGACATTGATGTGGCCAAGGTTAACCCCTTGATCAGGCCTGATGGACAGAAGAAGACCTGTGTTCAACTTGCCCCTGACTATGATGCTTTGGATGTTGCCAACAAAATTGGGATCATCTAAACTGAGTCCAGCTGGCTAATTCTAAATAAAAATTTTTCTCACAAAAAAAAAAGTTTGTAAAGGAATCTAAAAAGTAAGAAATGACTTTCCAATCCCTGCTCCCAGTGATTTTTGATGTAGTTAAAGAATTGTGCACAGACCCACATGATCTAATTGTAAATCGTTTCGATGACCCACTTGCCAGTCATTTATTCCCAGCCCCTGCAGCCACTGAGCTTCCCACCTGAGCCCATGTGCACCTGTTCTCTCTGCCCTCCTCCCCGGCCTAGGTACCTGGAGGAGCCTGGCTCTCAGGGTCCATTGTTGTCACCTCACTGCTCTTTCTAAACCCCAGGAATGCTCACCCAACACCACAGAGCTGTTCAGACAGTCCTGCTTCCCCGGTGTGTTTGGAGGTGATGTCAACCCCCCTTTTGACCAGCTCTGCTCAACTCTGCAGACAGTGCGCCGCCCTGACTGGTTCCCCTTCCTGTGCGTGCAGTCCCCCCTTGAGAACTCACCTTTCCTTGGTTACTTCTACCACGGCGCCACGTGAGTGTCACCCAGGGGCTGGGGCGGGCCTGGTCTGCAGCCCCAGGACGGCCACTTGGTTGGAGGCGGGAGTCACAGGATGGCCACTTGGTCTGGAGGCAGAAGCCACGTTTTCGTAGATCCTCCCTGGTGACGGTGGAGCTGGCCAGGTTCAGATCTGTCCCTCACAGGGTGGCTATGAGTCACAGTTGACTTGATGGCACTTCCTCCTGCCACCAAGTGTCCACTGCGAGGTGGTGGCTCACGGGCTGTCCATGCCCTGTCATGGATCTCTGCTACCTCAGTCCCAGGATCCTAACGGAATGATGCTTTGTCATGAACTCATTTTTCCCCCCAGTTTTATTTTAAAGGAGCTCTAGTGGCTAGGAGGCCTGAGTGTCCTAACTCAACCTCCTTGCCATCGAGTCAGAGCCGACCCACAGCTGGCCCTCCAGTGGACTTGCAGAGGGCCGTCACGTGGGCAGAGATTGGCACATCTTCTCCCTGGGAGCAGCTGGTGGACCTGAACTGCTGTCACTGGCTTTTTGCCTCAGTTAATTTAAAGCAAATGATTGTGGGGTTTTTTGTAAGATCTTTTATTCACAAATACTCAGTGCATCCAGTATACTGAGTTAGTGCATTAATTCTGAAGTACATGAAAGACTTTTTTCTTTTTTTTAAATTTTATTTTATTATTTTTTGAGTGTACCGTCAAATCAGATCTGACTGGTACAGGAGGGGATCGCCCCACCTTCTCCAGCAGAGCATCTGGTGGATTCGAACTGTGCACCTCTGGGATTGCAGTGCAACTTCTTGCCACTAGGCCACCAGAGCTTCCTGACTTTTATGTCGTTAAGAGAAATTGCTGCTCATAATGGGTTTTCTGAGTGAGGAAAAGGGTAATGAATTCCTGAAGACTTCAACTTTCTGTATTTTTCTATTTTCTTCAAATTTCATAAGGAAAAATGCTGTTTTTTTAAAATTGAAGAAATGTTAAAAAACATAACTATGATAGTGTTTTAGCACATACTTGCAGAGAATAGTAATTATTCTTTCGTTTTATGTCAGCTCTCCTAAACAAGACTCCTCTTTTGAAATACCTTTGCACGCTGATCTCAAAGACTCTTCCAAAATTGGCTACAAACAAGGAGATCCCATCATGACTGCAGATAAGGAGTATTTTACTATCCCGCAGGTAATAACTTCCATTTTAATGCGCCAGGTCCCTTCCTGTTGTTAGTTCATGCTTCTCAGCCGGCACAAAATAGTCCTGGTGACACAGAGGTGTAAGCTTGGGGGTGCTGACCAGTAAGGGACAGTTGGATCCGTTAGCGGACTCCCAGAGGGAAAGTTGTAGCCATTAACTGTTGGAGGGATTTAGCCCCAGGCCCAACACTGTAATTTCTGTGGCAGTCTCCTGTCTCTCCTTTTCCTGTGGCGTGGGTGTATTTGAACTGCTGACATTTCAGTGTAGGCCAAGCACTTGACCACTGCACCACCAAGGCTTCTTGCACAAAACGAGAATGAAGGTACTCATATCGACGGTAAATGCCGTACTGAAGGTGAATGCGTCACACACACACACTCTGACATTATCAGTCATGACGGAGAGTAACATACCCAGGTAGTGAGACCCTCAGGTCTGCAGGCTGAAAGATGGACAGATAGGTCTGGGTAAATGAGCCTGTACCATGACCAATGTATTTCCACTTACACACCTGTATATACGTTAAATGCATCTACATAGAGAGTAGAATAGAGGGGGCCAAACCGTGGAAACGTGTTTCTCATATCCTAACATCTTGAGGAGTTAAGCCTGTGGGCCTGGTGGCTCAGGGCCGTAGTCCCAGGGGACATCAAGGTCAGTGGACACAACCTAGTTCACAAGGACAAGTGTCCCGCATCGCCTGTGGGTGTGGAGTGGTGGGAGCCTTGTCAACTTGCAGACGGTCCTCTAAGGGAGCAGCTACTGGTCTCTCTAGTTTGGAGCAAAGAGGAAGGAAGGAAACCAAAGAGTTTGAGTCCATTACGTTGTAGTGGGCCTCACAGGCCTCAGCCTGCCTGACCCCGAGACCACAGAACTAGACGATCTCCGGCTACCACCCTGGCCACTCTGAAAGGGCTCCCAGCAGAGGGTCCTGGACAGACGGGAGTAAAATGTGTGACAGCTCAATACTGTAAAGTTGACCAGGCTGACAGCGATGGGTGGGATGCCCCAGACTGTGGCCTTTAATAGCCCAGTGAGCCTGGAAATTTACGCATTTCTGTGGCTCAGCTTTCGGCCACACGGTCCTGTTAGGTGAACAGTAGTAACACGTGGGAGGTATGCACTGCGTAAGATGGTCAGCCGTATGAGAGCAAAGGGGCAGCGTCTGCTAAGGATTAGAGCTTAAAAGGTGTGGGTAGGAGGAGGAGTGGAAACAAGAATCACTAGGAGGAAGTGGGAAGAGTGCTGTTACAGAGTATGGACTGGAATCAGCGTCATGAAACAGACTGTGTGCAAATGATTGACTAGAAAGCTAGCTTCCTCTGTACACTTTCACTCAAATCACTGTTGGGGAGACAAAAGATTACACGCTAGGAAACTCTGTGGGGCAGTTCCCCTGCGTCCTATGGGGCCTCTGAGTTTAATACACTCAGTGGCAGCGGGCGTTCATTGTGACTCCTCCACTGGTGGCTTCTAGATTGTTCAGCAGATGATTGTCAGATGACCATCATCAGCCGCTGTGGAAGCACAGCCAGCACGGCTGGACCAGGCTGTGGGCAGAGTGCTGGGCAGTGCCCGACCCGCCTCTCACGGCTTTTCCTTCTTCACCTCAGGTGTCCCTGGCAGGTCAGTGCGTGCAGCACGCCCCGGTGGCCTTCCTTCGGAATCTGGACGTCCAGTGCATTACGAATCTGGAAGCCTATGAAGATCGAGATAACATTCTTAACGTGGAGATCAAAGATGGCACAATTGGAGGTACGGGAGGGGGGCGTCAAAAGCAGAAGTCAGAGGGAGCGTTACGATAAATTGTCATCGCGTGGGAAAACAAGTTAGTCCTCCCAGATCAACGTGGAAGAGCGAACCAGCTGAAGATTTTTCTTTGGAAAAAATTTCTGTTCTGTAAGATAGCAGATTCCTTATTGCTGTTGTTGTTATGGGCCATCGAGTCATCTGCAACTCATAGTGACCCTATGCACAACAGCCCTAAACCCTGCTCTATCCTGTACCAATCTTATTGTCTCTGATACACCTACCACCATGACCCCAATCACTGAGTCAGTCCATCTCATCAAGGGTCTTCCTCTCCTGCACTGGCCCTCCACTCTCCCAAGCATGCTGTCCCTCTCCAAGGACTAATTCCATCTTGGCAATATGTCCAAAGTATGTCAGATGAAACTTCATAATCTTTGCCTCCAAGAAGCAGCCTGGCTTCACCCTCTGCAGGACAAACCTGTTTGTTCTCCCAGCAGACCATAGTATACTCAGTACTCTTCTCCAGAACCACAGCTTAGAGGTATCAATTCTCCTTCTGTCATCCCTAGTCCTTGTCCAGCTCTCTGATACATAGCAAGTAATTGCAAAGACCACGGCCTGTAACAGGCACACCTTAGTCTCCAGACTGACACCGTTGTTGTTCAGCACTTTGGAGAGGTCTCTGACAGCAGACTTTCCCAATGCAATTCGTCTTTTAATTTCCTGGCTGCTGGTGCCAAGAGTGTTGACTGTGGAGCCGAGCAAACTGAAGCTGTTGATAGTCTTTATCCCTCCACCATCTATCATGATGCTGCCAATTGGCCCAGTGGTGAGAATCTTTGTTTTCTTGATGTTGAGCTTTAATCTATATTGACGGCTGCAGTGCTTGACCCTCTGCAGCAAGCACTTCAGGTCCTCCTCAGTTTCAGCACGCAGGGTTGTGTCATCTGCATAACACAGATTGTTGATGAGTCTACCTCCAATCTTGATGCCACAATTCTCCTCATAGAGCCCAGCCTCCTGCATAGTATCTGTTCTCCATATAGATTGAAAAGATATGGAGATAGGACACATCCCTGGCATACACCCTTCCCAATTTTGAACCGTGCAGTGTTTCCTTGCTCTGTTCTGACAACTGCCTCCTGGTCCAAATATAGGTTTCTCATAAGCACAATCAAGTGTTCTGGGATTCCCATTCTTCTCAGAGTCAGCCACAGTTTGTTGTGATCCACACAGTCAAAGGCTTTTCATAGTCAATGAAACACAGATTGATATTACTCTGGTACTTCCTGCTTTCAGCCAAGATCCACCTGACATTAGCTATAATATCCCTAGAACTGTGGTCTCTTCTAAACCCAGCCTGCACTTCAGGCAGTTCTTTTTTGATGAGCTGTTCCAGTCATTTTTGGATAATCTTCAGCAGAATCTTGCTTGCATGTGGTATCAGTGATACTGTTCAATAATTTCCACACTCTGTCAGATCACCTTTCTTTGGAATGAGAACAAATATAGATCCCTTCCAGTCAGTTGGCAAGGTGGTTGCCCTCCAGATTTCTTGGCACAACTTGGTGAGCACATCCGGGGCAGATTCCATATTAGTTTTTTTTTTTAAAAAAACAAAACAATTCGTAAGGAATTCCCTTAACATAAGACTATTTACAAATAACTAGCTCAGTGGCATTTCTTCCCTTCGGCATAGCATGTGGCGTCCTGCTCTCTCCAGGTCCAAGTGCTGCTCCCCACCTCACAGGGAAGCCTAGGACCTGCCAGCAGTTCACTCCATGGGTCCCCTGTCACCTCTCACCTCCATCTGTCCCTGGGTACTTGCCTGCTCTGGACAGTCAGTGGAAATGGCCCCACTCCACGTTTGGTCCATCTCTCTGGCTTTCACGGTTCGTCAGCTCGTAATCTGTACCCTTGCTCCATGCCACTTCCTGCAGGAATGAGCTGCCACCTCGTGGATGGGACCCCATATTTTCACTCCTGCATGCGTGATGAATGTTGGTTTGGGTTGTGTCTGCCTTCGTGTTGAATGCCCATGCCCAGTTCTTTTCCCGGTGGTTGTTTAACTTTTTGAAGAGCTGCCAGGCTGTTTTCCAGAGTGACTGCAACATTTTACCTGGTCACCAGCAGCACACTGGCTGCTCTCCCCCGACAGTGAGCCCCCCGTTACCGTCACCGACCTTTACGACCTCTTCCTCACTTACACACCCCTTCAGTTAGCCAGTCTCATTGTCTGACACTTTGCACTTAAAACAGCAAAAAAAAAAATCTACCCTCTGACTGTTTTGTGCACTAACAGTACACGTCTGCAGTAACAAAGGCTGAGGTGTGAGGCGAAAGTAATGTTGGCTGTGATTTTTAAGGTTCTGTTAAGGGCCATGATTCCACGTGATTTGACAGTTATGTATTGACCTGATTTTGTAGTTGTGCGTTGATGTACTTGATGGCGTGTGTGCTGATATAATTTGGAAGTTACAATGACGTAGTTGGACTCCGTCCTGTAATCTGATGGGATCACTGTCCAATTTCAGATAAGCTGATCTTTGAAACCTAACCCCATCAGGAAGCGAGGAGAGGGTGTAACTGAGTGCCGAGAATTCAGGGAACCTACTGAGTGTACTTGGGGAGAGTTTGGTAATGGGCGTTCCTATCAGTGGTTACTGTATTCGCTGGACAGGCTCTGTCGTTAAGTTAGTGAGTGTGATTATGGTGGTCCAGGTGGGCCTCTGGAAACGAACTTCTGTATCTTTTTAGGAGTAGTTAGAGCCACAGTCACCTACGAGGAAGCAGCTGACCTGGACAGATTCATCACAATTACAGGTATTTCAGTTGAATGCTTTCTGTCACTTCTAGTGCGTAGGTTTGTCATTTCCACAGGTAGCGTGTGGTCCTGGAGGAAACTGTGATTCGGATTCTGGGAGTCTGCAGCACTGACAGAGCAGCACCTGGAGCATTTCACTTCCCGTCTCTAGGGCTCTTGTTCCGCTTGCTCCGGGCACTTCCCTCTGGGCCCTGGGCTTCATTCCCATCCCTGCTGAGGAGGGAGGCTGGGAGTACTGAGTCCCAGGCTCCTTCCCAGGAGAGCTCAGGCATCTCCACGCAGCTCGAAGGCTCCAGGACGCAGCACCATCACCTCCTGTGTTCTTTGTTTGATCATTGTACAATTGGGAGGTGGTGAGATGAGCCGTGTGCGATTTGGCTGTAACGATACTATCTGTGTGTCTTTTATTTTTTTAAAAAATGTTTTTAAAAGTTTATTTTTTGTGTGTGTACCATCAAATCAGATCTGACTGGTACAGAAGGAGATTGCCCCTCCTTCTCCAGCAGAGCATCTGGTGGATTTGAACTGCATACCTCTGGGATTGCAGTGCAGCTTCTTGTCACTGGGCCACCAGAGCTCCCTTGTATGTGTGTCTTAGGATGTGCGGTAACCTTTGCGTTATCCCCGTTCACTCTCAGACACTAGCAGTCGGCCGACGGTAAGTGGTGGCAGGACACAGCTCTGCCCTCGTGGCCTTTCACGGAACACTTTGTCAAGCATGTGCTCAATGCTTGGCCAGGGGCCAGGTGCTGGGGCTGCAGAGATAAGGGGGAGACCTCCTTCAGGGCCCCGAGATGCTGTCAAAGAGCTTGACCCCTGCTGGGTGACCCAGGAATGACTTCGCTGTGGACGCAGTGACTGTGTTGTGTCGTTGAGATGGACAGGGCCGAGGAGGGTGGGGAGGTTGACCAGGAAGAACTCCCAGAAAACCAAACCCAGTGCCGTCAGTCCATTCCCAATCCTGAGAACCCTCACTGCGTTTCCGACCCTGTAGATTTTAAACGGAGGTGACTGGCTCACTTTTCTCCCATCACGCCATTGGTGGGTTTGGAACTGCCAGCCTCTCGGATCATAGCCCAACAGTTAGCCCACTGCACCAGCCGGGCTGCTTGGTTCAGGCAGAGGGAATCTCCAGTAATAGACACGCACAGGGGACACTTGTTCAGGAACATGCTCTTTCACTTACAGAAGCTCTTCCCAACCTGTCGGTCCCTCGGCTCATCAACGTGGAAGAGCATTTTGTCTTCAGGTGGAACAATAACACGCTCAGTGACGTGACTGTCAGAGTGATCCGGGCTCGCGCTCCTGCCACCAAGGAAGGTGACTTGGGGAAACTTCCTCCCTCTCTCTTTATGAGGCTCGTAATTGTAACACCTGTAACTGCTTCTCCTGAATATGTGTGAGACTTAATGAAAAATACTGTGTGTTGAAACGCCGTCATAAGGTAAACAGCTCCCACTCTAGGCAGTGATTTCCTCCTGGAAGGCAGGCATTACGCTTTTTTTTATTATTATTAAATTTTATTAGTTTTAATGAACATTTACAGGGATTTTGGGTTTTCATTCCTTCATTGCTGCACCATTCTCTCTACCCTCCTCCCCAGTTTATTCTTCTTCCCCGCCATCCGAATGTCTGTTTTAATTGTCCAATTGCCACAGTGCTTGTCAAAGTCAGTTCTGATTAATCTCCTTTGTCAGTGTGTCCTTTGCCATTCCCTATCACTCCTCCCTGAGAGAGACTTCACCCTGAGTCATAAGGAAAAGGGGATGGCATATTCTCTTAGCTACTTCCTGCTGAAAAGGGACGCTGTGGGTTTCAGGGTGAAGATCTTCTCTCACTACTCTAAAGGGCCCCTTTGGCAGTAGGAAACACATAGACTATTATGGAGATTGATTTTGGAATTTAGATGCACTCTTATTGATTGTGCTTGGCCGCTTGGCCGTACATGTTCATATCCTTGAAGATGTATCATGGGGGTGTTGCAACCTAGAAGACACAAATTTGACTAACAAGTTATAAGTACATGAGTCAAAAATTATGGAAAAGTAAAAGAAAGGATTGTTTCATTGTTTTACAAACCCTCCCCCAGGTCCCCTCCCCCATGTAGCCCTCGCTCTAGACTCCTGTGATGACAGAAATACCTAGTTATATATCTCTTTTAAACAGTTTTCTCCCTCCTCTGTTTCAGTGCAGTATAGATTATTGAACCCATCTTACTCAGTCTCTCCCCAACACCAAGGACCGTCCCATTCTACAACAGTGGCATCATGTAACATTTGTCCTTTTGTGACAGGCATTACGCTTTTGTTGTGTTGTCTTTCTAGGAAGACTGACGCGGAGATTTACAGTCAAATTCCTCAGCTGGAGCAGTGAGGATGAGAGGGAGTTCTCTGGAAACCCAGGTAGGCTGCGTGGGAGGTCAGGGCCTCGGAGACGTGCTTGACCGCGGTGTTGCTCCACTGTCCCAGTGCCTGCATGCCGCTCTCCCGGCCTGCTCAGCGACTCTGACTTCGTCCTCAGGGCCAGTGTCTCTGAGCAAAGCACGCTGCGTGAGGACTGTGCACTGGGTATACCTCTTTCCTCCTGTTTCAAAGCCTGTGAGCTGCCTGGTAGCAGGACAGGTTGCTATAGATACAAAATTCCCCTTCTCTGCAGCGAATGGTCTTGTGAATGAGAGATGGCGTATTTGAAGTGTCAATAGGACCAGCTTTTCCAGAAGTTGTAAGCGGCCGACAGTGGAGCATGACCTCCCTGGGGCTGTTTGTGCAGTGACCCAATCATGAAGGCAGGCGCTCCGTCCTTAGGATAACCAAGTGTGAGGGCAAAGGAGCAGCATTTGTCGAAGGCCCAAGCCCTGTAGGTGGGGAGGGCTCCGACGGAGGGACCGGTGGACTGACGGACCGAGACTCACGGGGAGAAAGTGAGAAAGTGCCGTTACACTGTGTGTGTGGTAGTTAATGTCACCCAGCAAACGTGTGCAAATTGTGTAACAGAAAACCAGTTTGCTTTGTAAACTTTCACTCAGGTCACATGCACTTATAAATGTAGAACCGTAAGGAAAAAAAATTCTTCACAGAACTCCACGAATATCCTGGTTTCTTGGAAACAAAACAAAAGACACGTGAAGGGGACCTGCCTCTCACAGAGATTTTTGGAAGCATCTGGGCCTTTTTAAGGGCTGTTGCCTTTTCACTGGCCTCGGTTCCTCTTTGACGTCACTGCCTGGGACCGTGCCCGCTATGTTGGGATAACTCTGCTTGTCCCTTGCTGTCCTCTAGGGTACCAGCGTGGCAAGCCCGTGCGAGCGCTGGACGCCGACCAGATGAACGCTCCCTCCACCCTGTACCTCTGGCGATCCGGTAATTGTGGACGAAAGGACAGGTGTCCCCGATTCTCGCTTTCGTCAGGCACTCAGGGACTCTAGGGCTTGGTCCGTGGGCTTGTCTAAAGGACTCAAGTGTGGGGAGCTGGTTCTTTTTCATTCTCAAACGAGGCTGCCATGACATCGCCTCCTGCACTTTGGACGTGATATCAGGAGCAGCCAGGCCTTGTGCCTGGTGAGGTGGAGGCTCAAGAGGAAGGGACAGAGCAGTGGCTGCAGCAGCGGGCTCAGAGGACGGCCGGGGCCTCGTTCACTGTCCCCAGGGCCGCTGTGCAGCAGAGCTGACCCTCTGGTCCCGGACAGCAGCAGGCCTGATACAGAGAGGCGCTGGGCTTGGAAGGGCTGAGGGCGGCGAAGATCTTAGTTTCTGAAAACTGGAAACCTTGCGAATTGCGATCTGATTGCAGTTTGTTGTTTTTCAAGACTGTTGACGTAAATCTTTTATTTCACGAACTTAGTAAGGCTCATCTTTTTTTCATTTTGTAGCCGGGAGGGGTTTGTGTTCAGCAGCCACTTTCACACCCGTTTTGTTTGAAGAGAACGCGCTGTCTGGGTGCCTGTTGGAAGTCAGCGTGAACGACAATTGCACTCAGCTCAGGTGAGGGATCCTTGGAGGGATTTCTCTGTACTTTGTGGGGTTTAGGAGTCCTGATGGCACAGTGGACAAAGAGTCGGGCTGTCGGCTGAAAACGTGGTGGTTCAAACACACCAGCAGCTCCTCTGGTGAACGATTAGCCAGGCTGCTTCCTGTTTCCACCGGGAGTGTGGCCTGAGGCGCCCTTGGGGGCAGTTCCCCTCTGTCGTGCAAGGTGCCTGCCAGTCAAAACGCCTCCACAGCGGTGGGTTTTCAGTGTGTGGCTCCAGGGACCTTTGGTAGCTTAGTGGTAAGGAATTGCACTGCCATTCCAAAGGTACACTGTTCGAATCCACCAGGAGGTCCTTAGGAGAAAGATGAGGAGTCTCCTCTCCTGCGGTTTACTGCCTCTGAAAATCCGCTGGAGGGTCAGCTACGGGTGGGTTCCAGCTCTCCACAACAACAACAGTCCCCTAGAACAGTCCTTGAGACAGCATCCGGGTAACATGGGCAAGTCTGAGCTCAGTCAAGTCGGGCATGAGTACATGCAAACTTACAAAACACTTGAGTTGATGAAACGTGAAAATGAGCGAGGATGAAGCTCTTCTTGGGGCTAAAACAATTTCCTACATATTTAAGCAGGTTTCCCTATGGAAGCTTATTCCACACACTGGAACCTACTGCTCCTGGCGCGCACAGAAGGGCCAGAGCCAGGTGTAATTGGTGCGATTAACATTTAAAGCACCTTTAGGCCCCGTTCCATGGTGTCAAGACCATGCCACCTAATTGCAGGGATCACTTTCAGGAAGTGTACTCGGAAACACACCCCATGCAGGGCGCATTCCTCCACAGTGTCGGTCTGTAATGCAGCTGCTTCGGGGGGAGCCGGGGAAAGACGAGATGTAGAAAGAGAAGGAAACAGGTGGGAGTTAGGTGAGGGCTGGAGACGGGGACAGCCGCGTCCTTTCCTGCCGTGCAGATTTCCACTCTGCAGCCTCCTCTTGTGTGTGTGTCTGTGTCTGTCTCTGTCTGTCTGTCTTGTCTGTCTCGGGGATGCTGAGTTGTGGTTCTTCTCCTCCTGGGTCTGTACCATGTCCCACTTTGGGCCTCTGCACCTTCGCAGTCTCAGACACCTGGCCAGGTGTGAACACCTTCAGCTGTCCCTGGGATCCCCAGGGAGGTTTTAGGTGTCCTTCTGCTGTGCCTGGACGCTCCTAGCACTTGTTTCCTGCTCTGGGCTTGTGTCTCCCTGCTCACTCTCCCCTAGTGTTCCTCCCCTGCTTCGTCACAACCTTCCCAGCACCTAGCACTGAGCACCCAGCGCCCAGTGCCCAGCACCCAGCACTGAGCACCCAGCACCCAGTGCCCAGCACCCAGCACTGAGCACCCAGCACCCAGTGCCCAGCACCCAGCACTGAGCAGGGCTCAGTACACACCACACGTTCATGCGGTCACTCAACAACCATGTACTGAGTGCTAAGCTTTCATCCTCAATTGGGTTAAGCTCCAAATACCAATTAGATTATTAAGTCCCGCTATATATCCATACTTTTTCAGTCTATACGCAGAACAGATTATCCAGGAGGCTGGGCTGTATGAGAAGTGTGGAACCAGGATTGGAGGACGATTCATCAACAATCTGCATTATGCAGATGACACAATCCTGCTTGCTGAAACTGAGGAGGACCTGAAGCGCTTGCTGCAGAAGGTGAAGGACTGCAGCCTTCACTATGGATTGACGCTCAATATTAAGAAAACAGTGATTCTCACCACTGGGCCAATTGGCAGCATAGTGATAGATGGTGAAGAGATTGAGATTCTTCACAGCTTTAGTCTGCTTGGCTCTACAGTCAACACTCTTGGCACCAGCAGCCAGGAAATTAAAAGATGTATTGCAATGAGAAAGTCTGCTGTCAAAGATCTCTCCAAAGTACTGAAGAGCAATGATGTCAGTCTGGAGACTAAGGCATGCCTGTTATAGGCTGTGATCTTTGCAGTCACTTGCAATGCTTCAGAGAGCTGGACAATGGCTAGGGATGACAGAAGGAAAATTGATCCTTTGAGCTGTAGTGTTGGAAAAGAGTATTGAATGGACCATAGACTGCTAAGAAAACTAACAAGTTTGTTCTAGAGAGGATTAAACCAGTCTGCTCCTTGGAGGCAAAGATTCTGAGGCTTCATCTGACATACTTTTTACATGTTGCAAGGAGGGACCAGTCCTTGGAGAGGAACGTCATGCTTGGGAGGGTGGAGGGACAGTGCAGGAGGGGAAGACCCTCTATGAGATGGATCAGTTCAGTGACTGGGGTAATGGGGGTAGGTGTGTCCAAGACAGTGAGGTTGGCACAGAGTAGAGCCGGGTTTAGGACTATTGTACATAGGATCACTATGAGTGGCAGGCGACTCGACAGCCCATTACAACATCGATTACTTATCCTGGTCACTTGAGAAGTGTCCTGCCCAGCCCCTGGGCTTGTGGCACTAATGTCATCATGCACCATTCCACAGCTGACCCTCCAGTGGGCTTTCAGAAACAGGAAACCACACAGGGTGCAATGCCCACTTTTGCAGAGCAGCTGGTGGATTTGAACAGCATACCTTCGCGCTGGCAGTGCAGTGAGGACTGGTAAACCATGTGATGCCAGTGTCAGCTGGGAGCTTGTGTGTCCAGAAGCACAGGTGGCCTCTGTATGTGTCCCTGCCCACGCAGTCCTCCCTGGGAGCCCTCAGGAGACACAGGACGCCCTGCCTGTGCTCCTTTCAGTCAGACCAGGGTTAGGGTAACAAAAACTGCACAAGGAAGACACCCCAACTCCTTGTTCTCTTGTCTTAGTAACATGTTTTAGTTCCACCCATCACCCCCTGCTGTCAAGTCACTTCTGACTCACAGCCCCCCCCCCCCAATAGGACAGAGAACGTCACACAGAGGCTCCCAAGGCTGTAAGCTCTGTGGGTACCGACTGCTTCATCCTTCTCCCGTGGAATAGCTGGTGAGCTTGGACCACTGACCTTTTTTATCCACCACTGAGTGGAGTGTCCCGTGAGGTGTGTGGGTGTCGTTGTTACTGACGGAACTGCACAGCGTGCAGGAGGCTCACCGCTGTGCAGACCTGTGGATGTGACTGATGGACACCCTCATGTGTCCCCATGTCCTGGGCGTGCCCGCTGTTCCTCCTGGCCAGCCCCCTCCCCGCTCCCCCAGCCTCTGGTGCCCACTGTTCTCGGCTGTCTCCCCTGTGTCCTGTGTGTGCCCGGTGCTCCTCCTGGCTGTCCTCCTCCCCGCACCCCGTGCCCTTGGCACCCACAGTTCTCTGCTGTCTCCCCCATGTCTTGGGTGTGCCCAGTGCTCCTCCTCGCTTGCCCCGTCCCCACTCCCCCAGCCCCTGGTGCCCACCGCTCTCTGCTGTCTCCCCTGTGTCCTGTGCGTGCCCAGTGCTTCTCCTGGCCACCCCCCTCCCTGTTCCTTGGCGCCCACTGTTCTCTCTGTCTTCATATCCTGTGCATGCCCATGCCCAGTGCTCCTCCTGGCCGGCCCCCTCCCTGCTCTCAGAGCCCCTGGCTGCTTTCCACTGTCTCTCCAGTCTGTCCTGCCTCTACAGAAAATCTGTACAGAAACACGCAGCTGTTCTTGTGGGTCTGTGCTCTGACACCAAGCAAGCCCACCGGGCACCGAGCAGGCCTGTGTTGAGCAGGCCCGTGCCGAGCAGGCCCACCGGGCGCCGAGCAGGCCCACCGGGCGCCGAGCAGGTCCGTCTCCCCAACCACCACATCGGCTCTGTCTTGCAGGGAGACTGCTTTGGAGCGACTTGGCTCATTAATACAAGCAACCCACGTCGCCAGGAGAGGCAATTCTGATTACGGCGACCTTAGCGACGGCTGGCTCGGAGTGATCCGTAAGTCCAAGATGCATGTGTGGGACTTGGTTGCCTTGACCACTGAGCTGGCTGTGGCTCTGCCCCACCCCATAAATCCAAAACCAGTGCATCGCCGTCTGATGGGCTCTGAACTCGAGGGACCCTGCTGGACAGAGGAGGACCACCTGATGGGGTTTCCAAGGCTGGAAATCTTCACTGGTGTAGACTTTATTATTCTATAGAGAATGGTGGACTTGAACTGCTGACCTTCTAGTTAGCATCGTGAGTGCTTATCTGGACCTTAGAGTAATCTTTGGTACTGCAGTAATTAAGACATGCAGTTGATAACCAAAACATCAACAACTCAAATCTCCAGTTGCTCTGAGGCAGAGAGATGAGCGTTCTGCTTCTGCAAAGGTGACAATCTTGGGAGCGCCTTGTGGGGCGGTGCCGTGTCCTGGAGGGGAGTCCTGTGGGGCAGAGCCGTGTCCTGGATGGGGGCCCCTTGGGACAGTGCTGTGTCCTGGATGGGGGACCCCCATGGAACAGTGCCGTGTCCTGGAGGGAAGTCCTGTGGGGCAGAGCCGTGTCCTGGATGGCGGCCCCTTGGGACAGTGCTGTGTCCTGGAGGGGAGCCCCGCATGGGACAGTGCTGTGTCCTGGAGGGGAGCCCCGTGGGGCACAGCTGTGTCCTGGAAGATCTCTCTGAGTCAGAATTGATCTGACAGCAGCAGTGGGTTTGGCTCTGATGTGGAAATGAGCTTTTGTTGAGGGCTTACCCCTCCAGGCAGTGGCTCCCACAACTTTGGCGTCATTTTACATTTTTAAAGGAAACTTATTGTGACGTGGTGACTGCAGCAATGGGTTTAAGCGAGTCAGAGATGGGAGGATGGCACTGGATAGGACAGGGTTCAGGTCTGTGGTTCATAGGATCGCTGCGAGTCCTGTTTGACTTGATGGCACCTGACAACAACAACAGCACATCAGGTTGCCCAGCTGGTGAGCAGTGCCAGGGACAGGAAGGCCAGATGAATTCTGGACACGCTCGGCACCTTCTCTGCTTTGCTCTGTTTCATTTGTGATCAGAAGTGTGGGCAGTTAAGACTTGACTGTGGACTGAGAACAGCTGTACTGTTATCCGTAAAAGAAGGTGGCGGACTGGAGGCATTGTGCTTTGTGAAGGAAGTCCTCCACCAAAGACCAGGTGGTGCTGGGTCCTTGTCTGGAGCCTGGGGGAGGGAAGGAGAGCAAATCGGGGGTGCCAGCTGAAGCTGGCGGGGGTCCTCCTGGGGCAGTTAAGTGTTCTAAAACACTGCGCCCCGTGGCCTTTTCTCAGGCAAGTTTCTCTAGGGGAGCAAAGTCAGCGGAGCAGGTGTGTGTGTGTGTGTGTGTGTGTGTGTGTGCGCGCGCGCGCGCACATATCCAGAGATTTATCTCAAGGATTGCAGCTGCAGAGACTCCACACCCCAAGTCTACAGCTGACATGTCCTGTCGGAGGCTCCCGACTCCCACGGCTGCAGCCCAGTGCATCCAAGGTTGACTGGCGCTGTGGGCGGCCACTGGCTCAAGGCCCGAGAGCCAGAGTTCAGATGATGTGCCCGAGGCCAAAACAGCACTGCACCAGTTTCTCCCCTTTGAAGTGTCTGCAGAGTGCAGATTTCAGATCTGGGAAAAGCTGTACTTCTTTGCACGCTCCTGTTGTTGAATTCGCACCATAAATCAGACAGGACTTTGGTTATCAGCCTTCGCATCTCAGCTTAGAAATGACATTTGCTTATGACACAGGTTTAAGTGCAGTTGAGAGAACTGTAATGACAAGAGGCCCAGTCACCCCTGGTAACAACATAGCGCAGAGGACCCCTGGTGCTTATGTCACGGTGCCAGGCGTGTTTGTTTCCAGGTCTTAATGTCAAGGCCTCATTTTCTTTTCTACCTTTTATTGCTTCTTACACTTTTAAAAAAATTTTTTTAATTATTATTTCATGTGTGTGTGCTGTCAAATTAAATCCGACTGATACAGGAGGAGATTGTCCCTCCTCCCGCAGAGCACCTGGTGGATGGATACAAACCGCATACCTTTGGGATTGCAGCGCAGCTTCTTGCCACTAGGCCACTGCTTCTTACACTTATAACGGCTCAGGTTCTTCAATAAAAGGGAAACGAAGTATGTACCTTGAAGCAACCTTGTAGCTGCAGAAATAGAGTTACTCTGAAACTTTGGAGAAGATCAGTATTTTGAAATGTCTTGATTAAAGAAACCATTCTCTCGTCTACTCTTCACTTGAAAGAAGGCAGTTTGGGAGGTGACTACAAAGGGCACAGATGTGTACACCCCTTTCTGATGTGGATTGTGGATTGATGGCCCGGCGGGAGGACAGCCTCCTGACCGTGACTCTGAGGGGCCGGGTGGCTGACAGGCCATGCTCTCAGCCGATCCCCAGAGTGAAAGACCCATAAAGATTCCAGAGCCTCCCGTGTCGGGTCGGCTGTGACTCAGTGGCCCTGTGGGACAGGGGAGAGCTGCCCCATAGGGTTTCCAAGACTGTCACGTTCACGGAAGCGGACTGCTAGCTCTCTCCCGTGGTTGCCTGCCTGGTAGGTTCAGACCGTCAGCTTTTCTGTTAACAGCCCAAGGTCTAACCACTGTGCCACCAGGACTCCTTCCTGTGAAGGTCACAGGCTCGGCCTCCCTCTGGGCGAGTCTCCTCTGGTGCATGCGGTCACAGTGGGTTGGAATTGACTTTGTCCCCAACAATAGTGCAATTTTTTGTTTTTTTTTAAAAGACTTTTGTGGGTTTTTAAAAAATTTTATTTTATTTTATTTTATTATTTGTGTGTGTGTGTACCGTCAAATCAGATCTAACTGGTACAGGAGGAGATTGTCCCTCCTTCCCCGGCAGAGCATCTGGTGGGTTCGAACTGTGCGCCTCTAGGATTGTAGTTGAAACGACTTTTATTTGAGTGAATGATTACAAATGATATTTTTCCCCCAATCAATCATTTATAGGAATAATGTGATTGTTGTCCAATATTATTTCTCCCCCTCTTGTTTTAATCTTTGCATCGTAGGCGCAGAATGCTTTTTCCGTTTCTACAGGTCTAGAAAAGCTCTGCCGGGTTCTTTGCCTTTTACAGGTGTGGACGCACCTGATATGGGTACATTTGCCAGCAGCATACCGGGGTTCTGCGCGGATGTCCCTGCCCAGCTCACCCTCCGCATCTTCGTCTCTGAGGCCGGCGCGGTGGAAGGCATCCCTCAGCAGGAGATCCTTGGCATGGAGGCAAGGTAGGAACACGTCCCAGAGAAGCAGGACACAGAGGAGGCCAGTGACATGCAGAGCACGCCCAGCAACTGAGAAATGCTCCGTCAGAGTCTGTTGATTTGCAAACCGCAGTTTTTAGCTGTAGAATCACACGTGTAAAAGTACTTGATAAAAATAAAGTATAAATAAGAACTGTTACTCACAAATATTTATAAAATTATGTGTAAGAAACTTTACAAGGCACTTGAGGATGTTTGCTGGAAATCGTGACCACCTCTTGCTAGTGGTATTTTTAAATCCATGAACATAATTGGCATTCTGAGCAAGGAGTGTTGCCCGGTGGTAGGGCTGAGACTGGTGGCCTAGTGGTTAGGGCATTGGGCTGCCAATTCCAGGTCAAGTGGTTCGAATCCACCCATAGTTGCTCCTTGGAGAAAAGACGGATAGTCTTTTCCTGTGTGACTTAAAGCCTCTGGAAACTCTCAGGAGCGTCAGTTATGACTCAGCTCTGACTTGACATCAATGAACAACAACATCATAATATTGTGGGAAAAGTTCAGGTGGCGGCACAGTGGTTAAGCATTTGGCTGTTTACCCAAAGATCAGGGGTTCAAACACACCAGTCAGTCTGAGGGAGAACAATGTGACCTATAAAGATTGCAGCCTTGGACACTCTCGGGGCAGTTCCGAGGGGCTGCTGTGTCTGCCCCCAAAGCTTGAAGTCTTGTGAGCATTAGCAGAATGTAACACAGGGACGCAAAGTGAGCGTCTCCAGTTGGACAAGTGATGCCAGAAGACTTGCTCAACACAGCATTGCTCCAAACCTTCAATTTACAAAATCATAAACAAAAACACCCTCTCTGTGATGTGCAATGAGATGAGGCCTTCCTGGGTTAGTCTTTCTTTTCTGTGTGTACTTGAACTTTACCTGCTGCAATGAGATGGCATTTGAAGGGTCAGTAGGAAAACCCCGCGCGCACCCTAGCCTCCTGGGCTCTCCAGTGGGAGCTAGTGGCCTGCACTGTCTCCTGTACACCTTTCTCCCAGGTTCTCCTCAGTGAACTGGCACTTCCATTGTGGGCTGACCTGCGTGGACAAGGTCGACCTCTTCCCACTCAGCGCATCAGTCCAGTTCATTAAAATACCTGCCCAGCGGCCCCGCCCCCTGACCAGGTAATGCGGTGGCTGAGCGGGTGGACATTATTCAGAAGCAGAATACGTAATAGCAAACAGCGTTAAACTTTTTGTTGTGATGAGGGTAGAAGTGTACAGAGAAGACAGATTTTCTGGCTGTTTTGTTTCCTGTAACGGCATCAGTCTCCCCACCCCTCCCTGGGCTTCTCATTTCCATTATGCTACTTTTTTGCTTCCTGCCCTGACCTCTGCTTTGGGGCTCACAGGACTGAATGTTGTAAGGAGTGAATGCTGTTCACCTGATGGGTCTTTCTGCTGTCCCTGAGTTCCGTTCCACGGAAATCATTTCCTTCATCCAGTGGTGATGCTTTTCCCTCATGTTTCTTGTTGAAGGAAGATCATGGCAGTTGCCCCACCACCCCTAAGCTTGATCACTTCCTGAGAAACTTGATAACACCAAAGACCAGACCAGACAATGGATCCTGATAAGAGTCTGAGCTTGATTAAAAATAGCTAAAACCTAATTTAATTGACACGCCAAATTCCGAGAAGTACCTCCTTAAGTCCTCCCCAGGACCCCTAAAAAAAGGAAACCCCCCAGACAGCCCATGTGCCATTTCGATCCTGTCCGCATGCTGTGTGGCCAGGTCACTTGGTGCCCCTCTCAGATTCAATAAAGGCCTGTTCGTTTCTTGGGACCAATTTCTTTTTCTTTATTTCTCTCCCCCCCACCTTTGCGCTCTTCTCTATCTCTAACACTTGTTAATGGTTTAAAATGTCGCAGATTCCAGATCAATTTTACGGAGTACGACTGTAACAGAAATGACGTGTGTTGGCCGCAGCTTCTGTATCCACTGACGGGATATTACCAAGGTAGGGCTAAGGGGTTTCCGGGGTGGTGATGATGGTTTTATCCGTTTTTAACAATTTTAGAGGACAAGGAAACCTGTGAAAGCTGGAAACCTCTGTCAGGGGTAAACCTGCCAGGGAAGGAAAAATGCAGAAATTGTCTATTAAAACAAGCGACAGTCAGTAGTGGGACTTAGGTGGCAGGACTGCACTTTATCAAAGGCGGAAAACGCGGGAGACCCGGACAGACAAGTCAGTCTTGTTGAATTTGCGCTCCCACACGTTTCATTCTGATGTGTAAACATCATAGAGAAAGGTTTTTAAAAACAAATATTTACTGCTAATGTCACCACTTTGAAATGATCACAGTAAATAGTTTGGCTTGTTTCTCTTTATGTTTGAAAGTTAGGGAGTAAAAATGTGATTGAGTGGGATCTGTTTTCTTGCAGGGGAGCCTTATTCTCAGTGCCTGGCCAAAGGGCTAATCCTGGTGGCCTTGCTCCTCTCCGCTCTGCTGCTCAGTGATCCCTGGATGAGGTTGTGCAAAGCGCGGAATCCGCCCGCCCGCTGACTCCTCAGAGACCACTTACTCCTGGGCCCTGGCGGGACATGAAATGTTCTGGTGGAATGTGTTCATGCAGGGTTCTCTGAGTGTCTTTCGTCTGAGCAGACAGCCACACGGTCAAAGGAACGCAGAGTGAACACTGTCCTCTGTGAATAAATGTCCTTAGAGCTGCGGGTTGGACTTGCAGAGCCCTGGAGAAGCCACAGGGATGAGACAGCGCCCTGCCAGGGGACCTTACATCCTGTGGGGGAGGACCAGCATAGGAAATGAGATGGAATAGTAGTGAGTGCTTAAGGAGATAAAACACTGTAATGTAATGGGTTGGGAGGAGCCCTGGTGGTGGGTGAGGCCAGCTGTTTGAAGCCAGTCAGCTGCGTGAAGAGAAAGGCGGGGTAGGCTGAGTCCGCAGAGTCAGTGTTGTCTGGTGCTCTCATATTGACCCTTAAATACCCCGTCAGAACCTCATGCCATCCCCAGCCATCCTCACAGTCCGCTCCATGCCGACACCCACTCTTACAGTTCTGTGTCGAGCTGGCTCGTCAAGGGTCGTCCTCGCTTTCTCTGGCCCTGCCCCTTTCCCAGCACGATGTCTTTTTCCAAGGACTGGCCTCCTGACAACTCACCTGAAGTGTCTGAAACAAAGTTTTACTTTTCTTGCGTCTGAGGAGCACCCTACCTGCACTTGGTCCAGGACAGACCAGTTTATTCTGTGAGCAGTCTGTGGGATGTTCCGTACGTACTCTTCACCAGCGTCCAACACCACAATTCAAAGGCATCAGTTATTTTTTTTTTCTAATGACACAAAGCTTTTTTTATTCTTCCAAACCCTGCCTTCCAGCTGGAGTACAACATTAATTTTAAAATAAAGTAACATGACAGCTAATGAGAAATCCATGCAATAAGAAGTCATTAATAAAAAAATTCTTTTGGCTATCACTTTGTCTTTCTATATGTAGTTCTCTCTCTCTCTCTGTGTTTATTTGATAGAAAATTATAACATTGAATATAAAACTATAATATAGAATATATTTTATATTTTATAGAATTTTATCAAATATAAAATGATATTGTTATGTAAGCATCAATTCTTTGGTCTTTCTTATTTCCAACCCTCACATGCATGTGAAACAAACGAAAATACCTTGGAACCATATGCACGGACAAGCTCTCTTCTGTGCAGGGGTGTTGGTGAGCTGGGATAGCAGTGGGTTTGGGATTTTTGGGTTAATGAACTGGGTGGGAGTGGCATCCTCAGGGAGGAGGGATGGGGCTTCTGGAGCTAGCTATGAGAAGGACTAGGGGAGGCTGGTACAGGCAGCAGGATTAGCAAATTCAAATGCCCTGACTGCTAAAGAGATGGGTTGACAATGGTGACTCCCACCGTGGGTGTTAGGACAGAGATTGTGAGGATGACACAGGATATGGCAAGGACTGATGGCGTGGTATTAAGAATTTCAGAATTAACTGAAGCAGAGGAGGGAGAGAACCGTCTAAAAGAGAGATGTAACTGGGTATTTCTGTCATCACAGGAGACTAGAGCGAGGGCTGCATGGTGG